CTTAGTGAGCCGGTGGTTCTTAGTGGTAAGGCCATCGCAAGCGGAAAAGTTACCCCGGGGATAACAGGCTAATACTTTCCAAGAGTCCATATCGACGAAAGTGTTTGGCACCTCGATGTCGACTCATCGCATCCTGGAGGTGAAGAAGCTTCCAAGGGTTGGGCTGTTCGCCCATTAAAGCGGTACGTGAGTTGGGTTCAGAACGTCGTGAGACAGTTTGGTCCCTATCTGTTGTGGGCGTAGGAAATTTGCGGAGATCTGCTCCTAGTACGCAAGGACCGGAGTGGACTGACCAATGATGTGCCAGTTGTCATGTCAATGGCATGGCTGGATAGTTATGTCGGGATTAGATAAGCACTGAAAGCATATAAGTGCGAAACTAACTCCAAGATAAGATTTCCCATCCGTTAGGAGTAAGATACCTTCTAGACCAGGAGGTTGATAGGTGGAAGATGTAAGTATAGTAATATATTTAGTTAATCCATACTAATTTATCGAGGACTTATTTTTGGTATTTTCAATTTGCGTTCGGTTTTGAGAGAATTAATAAAATAATAAAAATTATAATATATATTAATTAAAATTAAATATCATAAGAAAAACTGTACTGGTGATTATAACAAAGTGAATAAATAGCACCTGTTCCCATTTCGAATACAGAAGTTAAACACTTTCGTGGTGAAAATACTCTCTACGGGGAAGATAACTCATTGCCAGTACTTTTTTATAGATTTATCACTATTATTTTTAGTTAATGAATAAAATAATTTTTTTTAATGGTTGTTCTTCGGCTGAAAAAACCTCATTAGTTAAAGTTATCCAGCATTTAAGTGAAGAACCATGATTAACTTTTGGTATTGATGCAATTTTGGAAGCCATGCCCGACAAGTATTTTGGTTTTGGCAAACAAGCCGAATTAGGTTTTCAATTCGTATCCAGCCTTGATAAACAAGGATTTCCGATTACCGAAGGTTAAAACTGGGTCCTATGGCAAACTTGTTAGTAGTTCAGTCCCTAAAATAATTAAACAATTAGCCGACGATGGTCACAATATTATTGTTGATGAAGTAATTTGAGAAAGAGAAGACTTAGAAAAGTATCTTATGTCTCTAAAATCTCATAAAGTTTATTTTATTAAGGTGGACTGCGAATTATCCCTCATGGAAGAAAGAGAAATGTTGCGAGGCGACTGTTCTTTGGGGCTGGCTCGGGGCCAACATACTAAAATGAAAAATTTAGACTGAAAATATAATTTTCAAGTTGATAGCACTTATGTTTCTCCTTTCTCCAATGCTAAAAAAATTTTAGAATTTATAAAAAACAACTAGTCATAGGCTTATACTAAAAATACTTAATGGGCCCATGTAGCTCAGTGGATTAGAGCAAACGCCTTCTAAGCGTTTGGTCAGGAGTTCGATTCTCTTCATGGGCGCCATGTGCCATAATTACTAAAATAATAGTGATAGTAAAAATAAATCATTTAATATAACCAAGCAAATTTTTTTAATATCAGAATCATGAATCAACTACCAATTTTATTAATAGACGATTTTTTTATATTCCCGAAGTGCGACAACTATCTAATCTTAAATGAAAGAAATGAGAGTCAAAACCTAAGAAAAATATTGTTACAAGTTTGAAAGAATTATCAAGGGCGGTTAATAGTTGTTCCTAACAAAGAAAAGTTCGGCAAAGAATTCGAGAAGTTTGCCCTTGTTGGAACCTTAGCAAGAATCGATTTAGACCTTTCGGCAGAAATTAATTTCGAATCCTTAATTAGTTCCTTTAAAGAAATCAAATTAAAGGGTTTGAAGAGAATAAAAATAGTTAACTTAGAAAAAAAAGATGAATTATGGCAAGGTGAATATCAAGAATTATTGGAAAAAGAACTAGACCAAGAAACTACTGACAAATTGACTGAAAAGTTTGTTCGTCATCTTCCTAATATTCTCGAAAAGGCAAAATTAATTTCAGTTGAAAAACTTCCTTATGAGTCTATGATGAAAGGTAACGTTGGTAATATTATCGATTTTATCGCCCAAAACAGTAAGGAAATTAGTCAAATAACTAAATGACGAATGTTAGTTTCTTTGGATTTGCAAGAGAGATTGGATATTTTAATTAATTTACCAGACCGGAAAAAGATTAACGAAGACTTGAATAGAGAAACCCGAGAAGAAATCAGAAGACAACAAGAAGAATATTATCTGAGCGAGGAACAAAAAGCCATCGAAAGAAGATTAAAAAAATTACGAGGTTATGGCGATGAAGAAATGCGAAGGTATTCCGAAAAATTAATCAAAGAACCTTATCCGGAATATGTGAAAAAAGTAGCCTGTAAGCAAATAGAGTATTGCGAAAAGTATCCTAAATCCGCCGATGCGGGAATGATTCGCTCTTATATTGGTTGATTAGTGAATATGCCTTGATGACAAAAAACTCCCGAAATTACCAGTTTTGAATTGGTTCGTCGCAATTTAAATGAAAAGTATTACGGTTCGCCCGAAATTAAAGATAAAATAATCGAATATTTAGGGGATTTAAAGAAATCGAACGAGCCCTCAGGTAAAGTTCTTTGCTTAGTTGGTCCGCCGGGAGTAGGGAAGACTTTTTTTGCTAGTTGTGTCGCAGAGGCTACGGGGCGAAAGAAAGCTACTATTTCAATGGGAGGGGCACATGATGTGGCTAAAATTAAAGGCCATTGTCGAACTTATATCGGTTCATTTCCCGGAGAAATCGCTAGGGCTTTGAGAAAAACCGGAGTAATCAATCCGCTGATTTTAATTGACGAAGTTGACAAAATCGGTCGAGATGGTCGAGGTGATCCCTCATATGCTTTATTAGAAGTATTAGACCCTAATGAAAATAAAAATTTTGTTGATGATTACTTAGGCTCAGAGGTTCCCCTTAATCTCTCAAATGTATTATTTATTTGTACTGCTAATTCCTCTAATTTACCTTCTCCCTTGCTTGATAGGATGGAAATGATTTTTCTTTCTTCTTATACCGAAACTGAAAAAATTCGGATTGCCAAAGAACATTTAATTCCTAAAAAATGAAAAAGGTATAACCTTACTGCTAAGGAAATAGATATCGAGGACCAAGCGATTTTAAAAATAATAAGGTGTTATACCCAAGAAGCAGGAGTACGAGAACTAGACCGTAAAATCAAGACTATTTTTGATAAATTTAATGTTCAGGTAGAGGAGAAAAAAATTACTAATCTAGTGGTTACACCGGAAATTATTTCCCAAAAAGAGTATTTCGGCAAAGAAATTTATGACTTTACTCACAAAGAAGATAATGCTCCGCCTGGTGTAGTTAATGGTTTGGCTTGAACCGCTAGCGGTGGTGATATTTTACCAATTGAGGTAAATTTGGTTCCAGGAGAAGGCAAATTGGGTAAACTGACCGGCAGTTTAGGAAAAGTAATGAAAGAGTCTGCCGAAGTCGCTTTTAGTTACGTTCAGCATTATTTAAGAGAAAATAAAGAAAATTTTGAAAAAGAATTAGTTCTTTTGGAAGAAAATGACTTTAACATTCATGCCCCGGAAGGAGCGGTGGAAAAAGAAGGGCCTAGTGCTGGGGTTACATTGACTACCGCTATTCTTTCAGCCTTAACTAAAAAAAAAATTCCATCCGATATTGGTATGACCGGAGAAATTACCTCCAAAGGTAAGATATTAAAAATTGGCGGTTTGAAAGAAAAGGCTATCGCAGCCCACCGGAGTGGACTCAAATTGATTATTATTCCTAAGGCTAATGAAAGAGATATTGAAGATATCCCATCAGAAATTCGCCAAGACCTTAAAATTGTTCTAGTCGAAGAGTATGAAAAAGTTTGGAAAACTATTTTTCGAAAGAGAAGTAAAAGTTCAAAAGTGCTTCCAAAAAATAAAAGGCCTGAAATAGGAAAAAGGTTGTAAGGATATTTTTTGAGAGATAATGTTGAAATGTTAATAAAAACTAAACTGTCTGTTTATCCAAAATGCCAAGTTTTACTATCAAAAATATTTATCAACAAAACCGAAAGATAAGTCAGTTAGAAAAAATTAAAGTTAGTGGTTGGGTAAAATCAGTTCGGCAAAATAAATTTATTGAACTTAATGATGGTTCTTGTCTACCAAATTTACAACTAATTTGCCCTCCTGAATTAACCGAAAAGATAAAACAAATTAATTTTGGCAGTAGTTTAATAGTGAGTGGTAAATTAATATTAACGCCTACGCGAGCCCAAAGTTGCGAATTAAAGGTAGAAAATATTGAATTGGTTAACCCGACAGTTGACAATTATCCACTCCAAAAAAAAAATATTCCCTTGGAAGTGGTTCGTAATTTTCCCCATTTGCGAGCCAAAACTAATTATTTTTTGGCAATTTTTCGTTTGCGTCATACAATTAGCAAAGCCATTCACGATTTTTTCCATCAAACAGGATTTTATTATGTTTCTACTCCAATTATTACTGGTAGCGATACAGAGGGAGCGGGTGAATTATTTAGCATCACCACCAGCGATAAAGAACCATTTTTTCCCAAAACTGCTAAATTAACTGTGAGCGGACAATTACAAGCCGAAGCGTTGACCCAAGGATTAGGTAAGGTTTACACTTTCTCTCCCTGTTTCCGAGCCGAAAAATCTCACACTACTCGTCATTTAGCCGAATTTTGAATGGTCGAGCCGGAAATGGCTTTTGCTGATTTAAATAAAATAACTGATTTGGCTGAAAAACTAGTAAAGTATGTAATAGAATATGTTCTCGATAATAATAACTCTGAATTAAAGTATTTAGAAGTCTATGAGGGAGAAGAAAATAAAAAAGAAATAATTAGTAAGTTAAAAAAAATTTCCGGTGAAGATTTTAAAAAAATCGAGTATAATGAAGTTATTAAAATACTTGAAAAAAAGAAAGCGAATTTCGTTTTTAATAAAATTAAATGAGGAATAGATTTACAATCAGAACATGAAAAATATCTTTGTCAGTATTTTGGTGGTAAACCGGTTTTTGTGGTTAATTATCCTACTGAGTTAAAGGCTTTATACATGAAAAATAACCCCGGCGGGAAAACCGTAGCCTGTTTTGATTTATTGTTTCCCGAAATTGGAGAATTGATGGGGGGTAGTGTGCGGGAGGATAATTATCAAACTTTAAAAGAAAAGGCTCAAAAGACAGGTTTAGATATCAATGATTTAGCCTGGTACCTCGATTTACGAAAATGCGGTTATGCTCCCAGCGGGGGCTTTGGTTTAGGTTTAGAAAGGTTAATCATGTTTATTAGTGGCACCGAAAATATTAGGGATACCATTGCTTTTCCAAGATTTCCGGGAAAATTAGAATTCTAACTCTCTCTTTCTCTGATTATTTTTTTTGTGAACTCGCTTCTCGTTAATTTCGGTGAGAACGTGGTTTCCTTTTTTTAAAAATTTCTACCAAAACAAAAATCAATCCTATTATTGTCATTCCACCGATAATGTATTTAGGGTTGATAGGGAATTCGTCTTTGGAAGAATTATTTTTTTGCGAAGGGCTACCGCCGTTTTTTAATAAGTTGTCTACATTGCCTTTTTCGGATTGGTAAGCCATTTGGTAAAAAGAGTTATTACTTTTAACAAAATTGATAATTTCTTGCTTTTTCTGAGAAGAGGGATTATTTTTATAGTCTTCGAGCAACTTTTTAAGTATTTTTTCGGCACTTTTTAGTTTGGTATTGTTGCTGACTTCATCCTTTATTGTATCGATTTCCGTTTGCTCCATTTTCTCTTTTCGAAGTTTTTCCAACTTTTTTTGGATTTCCGCATCTAATTCATTTTCTTTAATTGCTTCTTTTTCTAGTTCTTGGGTAATCATTTCTTTAATAGCATTGCGGTATCCGTCGATATCCTTTTCGGCGAATTTCTTTCTCAAAGCATTTATCTCTGCTTTTAGAGAGGTATAACTTTTCTCTCCCCGGTAATTTTCTATTTCTTCAATTATATTTTTCAATTCGGTCGGATTATTGGTTCACTTACCTCTTTGAATAAGTTCGGATAACTTCCCGCTGTCTATTTTCTCTTTTTTGATTCGCTGAATAAAGGCTAGCAAATTTTCCTTTAAATTATTAATGTATATTGTATCACTACTATTGCTAATTAAATCTTTTCATTGGCGGTCATTTTCGGCTAAATCTTGGTCGGTTAGTTTAGCCTCTGTAATAGCCTGACTGATTTCTGTAATTGTTTTTGCCCGTAGTTCTTCGAGACGTTTATTTCGAGGGGTTTTTGTATTTTTGTCTTGCTCGGGCGAATTATTTTCTGGTTCTTTATTTGGGTTTTGTTGGTTCGGTTTGGGTTTAGAGGTATTTTTAGCATTTTCAATTTCTCCTATAAAATATTCTAATTCTATCAAAGCCGCCGAAAAATAATTTTTTACAGTTTCTGTTTTATAGTGGGTACCATGTTCCGTTCGAAGGTCGGTTAGCAGTCGGGAAAATTTTTCATAACTTTCCGGAAAATGTTTTTCTTCAAGGTTAATTATACCTAACAAGTTTAGAGCATGAGGAGATGTTTGATTATGAATTATTTTGAAGATTTTGCCAGTTACGGTTGCTATGTGTCTGTTTATATATCCTTCTATCCAGTTAGAGGCATTTGTTATTAAGGAAATTTTTCCTAACTCCTTCCCACCCAATTTTTTTATTAGAGTTGTTAACTTTTCTTTTTCACTTGCATTGAATAATTTGTTTATTATTTCTTCTGCTGCTGCCTTTTGAAAATCTGCTTTTGTGGGAAAACGACTACTAAGAGGATTTCAATAAATAATCTCTATCTCCATTATTTTTAGGATTTTTCATCCTATTTTTTCGACTTGTGGGTTTGTTAATACCATATTATTATATATTTATAAAAATTAGTTTGATTTGGGATAAGTAAATTATACTTTCCTAAAAATTTTTTTTATTTTGGGCTAAATTGCGGTGAAATCTATGAAATATTTTTAATTCAAAAAAAACTTAGTGCTGATTTTATCTATTGTTTCTATTTATAATTATTTTAACTTGCGGTTATTTTTTTTTCCACTTCGTAATCAATTGATTTTTGACATATTTCTTCTAATTCTCCTTTCATAATAAATTCAATTTTACCGTATAATTTTATATTCAGACGTTTATCAACTACCCGATTGCCTTGAAAATTGTAAGTGCGAAAGTTTTCAGAACGTTCGGCAGTTCCAATCATGGTCGAACGTAAATTACCCATTTTTTTTTGCTGCTCCAATTGTAATTTTTCCCATAAACGACTTTTCAAAACTGTTAAAGCTCTTTCTTTGTTGTCATGTTGACTTCGGCCATCTTGGGAAGTAGCCACAATAGTTTCTGTTTTGCCGTTAGTGGAGTAAGTGTAGGTTGCTCTAACTGCCGAATCAGTAGTGTTAACATGTTGACCGCCGGCACCACTGGAACGATAATAGTCATATTTCAAATCTGAGGAAGGAATATTAAGCACTATATCTTGGGGTTCGGGCAAAACTACCACCGTAGCAGTAGAGGTATGTTTTTCTCCGCCTTTGGCAGTAAGGGGAATTCTTTGAACGCGATGCACCCCGGCTTCATTTTTTAAATAATTAAAAACTCCTTTCCCTTTCACTAAAAAAGAAACAAAATCGAAATTACCTATTGAACCCACTTTTTCTTCAACAATTTCTACCTTTCAATCTTTTTTTTCGGCAAAACTAGAATACATGCGGTATAAATCACGAACAAATAAACCGGCCTCATCTCCTCCTGGTCCTGGACGGATTTCTATAATGACATTTTGACTAATACTTTCTTCTTCGATTATTTGTTCTTTAATTTTATTAATTAGTTCTTTTTTTCGTTCGTCTAAATTTTTAATCTCGCTAAGGAGAATATTTTGTTCTTCCTTGCTTACTCCTTGGCTTAATTCTTGATAATCTTTTTGCTCTTGGTTCAATTTTTCATATTCCTTTTTACTGGCTAGCAAGAGATTTTTTTTTTTATTATTTATTTGTTCCTTTATTTCTTCTCCTTTGGCTAATTTTTCGAGATAAATAAAAATTTTTTTTTCTAGTTCCTTATTCATGAAAATCGTTAAAGATGACTTTACTTCGCAACTTTCTTACTAAATAACCTTGTTTGTCAAAAAATATCCCTTCTCGGGCTAATATATTTTTTTTTATTTCTGCCCTATTACCACCTCCTTGACCAGTGGCAAATCCACCCAAAAAAAAATTAGAATTAATAACTCGATAACAATGAATACTTTCGCAAGAACCTAATTCTGGTTCACATTCGCATTTACTCAAAATATTACCAACTATTCGGGCATAATGAGGACTACCATAAGCCGCAATCGCAATATATTTATAAGTTGAAACATGACCGGCTGGTATTTGCGAACATAGATTATAAACTCGTTGGGAGAATTTATTAGTTAACTTTTTTGTCATTTGCTATAATATAATTTTGCTGGTAAAACTCAAAAAAAATACCAATGGAGAATGGTGCAAAGCGTAAAATAAAATAATACATTAGAACCGAATAAAAAAAATAATTGTTATGAATTACCCTGCTCTGAAAATAGATAAAAATAACCAACCAGAATACAAAACTAATCCTCTGCTGCCAATTTCCTCAGTTGGAACTGATTATACTACTGCTGACCAAACCCATTTGCCAGTTGGTTCGGCTTTAATGACTGATACCTTGGATGGTTCTGGTAATGGCACTAGTATATTAAACAGCAAAGGAATAACCCATATTATTCATGCTGCTCCCAATCCACGGAGTAGTTTTACCTCCGACCAACACTTTATTAATTGCGTAGTAAAATCAGTTCAAAATTCTATTATTTTAGCCGACCGGATAGAGGAAGGAAGCAATAAATTAGCAATTTGTTTGGTTGGAGGGGGAATTTTTCGTGGCAGTTGCGACCCCTGAAAATTAGTTGAAGGGATAATTCGGGGGGCGATTAACCAATTAGAAAAATGTAATTTTTTACATGATATTGTATTTTTAGATTGAGCTCGTGGTTCTGAACGCTATTTTTTAAAAAAAATCAAAGAATTAGAAAATGAATTATTTACCACTAAAACTAGTACGATTGGCAACATCAGTTTTTTAGGAGAGACAAAAGGTATTGCGAAGGGGGTAGAAGTAAAGGTAGGAGAAATTTACGATAAAAGTATTCATGATGCTAATTTCATTGTTAATGCCGCTAATACCGAAGTCAAATTCGGAAGAGGAATTTCCGGTGATATTAAAAGTAGAGTCGGAAATAGTGATAAGATAGACCGAAAAGCCAGAGAGTTAATCGGTGAATTTTATTCTAAAATTGATAAAAAAGGCGGTGGTGGGAATAATGATAAAAAAATTACTTTTCAGGCCGTTTATACTGGACCAGGTCCGACACTTATGAATGATGATAATAGACCTCACCCACAATTTCATGGATTTTTTTTGGATAATAATTTTGTGGAAATTAGCACCGAACATCCTATTTTTAAAAATCCTCCTTTTTTCTGAAAAGATGTTGATACTTCAACCCAAAAATTTCTTCCGTTTAAAATTACTATAAAAGAAACGGACAAGGGCAAGAAATTATTTAGAGAGAATGATTTTGTCGAAATCGAGGAAATTAAAACCAAGAAACCGATTCCGGATAAAGGTCCCCCAATTCCTACCCCTCCCGATACTAAAACTGCCTCCGAATGGCAAGCGGAACTAAAAGCGGTTGATAATGATATGGAACAAATTTTTACCGAGGATAAAGTAAACGAGTGAAAAATGCAAGGCAAGAGTCAATTCGGAACAGTAGAAGGAGTGAAAAAAATTATCCAAAGTATAAAAGGCAACTCTCAATTTTTAAATTTAATCAAAACCAAAAAGGCAAGCAGTAGTTTAGGAGAATTTTTTGCCAAAAATAACCCTCCCGCAGTAATAGAAACCATTAAAAGGTTTGAATATGATAATTCCAGTAATAGTGAAAAAGAAACTAGGAACAAAAAAATGAGAAAGTATTACGGCTTAGAAAAAAACGTTCCTCTGACCGATGAGCAAATTAATGAATTTTGCTATAAAGTAGGCATTGGAGAAATAATTGAGAGTGCAATTAACGAAAACGAAGAACAAATTCCTAATAATACTAAAAATCCCGAAAGTAATATTCTGAAAATAGTGGGTATTGGGGCTCTGATTTTAATTCCGCTCGGAGGTCTATTGCTTATTCTCTTTATTCGAAACAAAAGAAAGAAATTAACTAAAAAATAAACCTTTTTGATGAGTAATATACTCTCTCGGCAAACTAACTTTCAAAGAAAAACATTATTAATAAAATGGACGCCAAAAAAATTAAAGATACCCTTTTACTACCCAAAACTAACTTTCCACTAAAAAATACTAACCATTTTGAAAGCGAAAAAAAAACCAGAGAATTTTGGGAGGAAAAAAAGATTTATCAGCAAGCATTAGCAAACAATAAAAATAACCAACCTTTTATTTTACATTCCGGTCCTCCTTATGCCAACGGCAAACTTCATATCGGACACGTATTAAATTTTCTAATTAAAGATATTATTGTTCGTTTTCAGGCTTCCATGGGTTATTATACTCCCTTTCTACTTGGTTGGGATGCTCATGGTTTACCAACTGAACTTAAAGCACTACAAGTCTACAAAAATCAAGCCACAATAAATCTGCGACAATTTTGTCATAATTTCGCCTTAGAGCAGGTTCAATTACAAAAAGAGCAGTTAAAAAAAATAGGATTATTTACTGACTATGATAAGCACTATATTACCTTGGATAAAAAATATGAAGCCGAACAAATTCGAATTTTTGGAGAAATGGTGAAAAAAAATTTAATTTACCGAGGATTTAGACCTATTCACTGGTCTTGTAGCCATGAAACAGCCTTAGCCGAAGCCGAAATAGAGTATTATGAAAAAAAAGATACTTCACTTTATTTTAAAATTAAGTTGGTGGAAAGTTTTGGGGGCAAAGAAAATGTTAGTCTCTTGGTTTGAACTACTCAACCTTGAACTATTCCGGCTAACCAGTTGGCAGCGGTTAAAAAAACCGCCGCTTATGTTTTGGTTAATTATAATAATGAATATTTGCTAATTTCGGAAAGCAAAATTTCCCTTTTGGAAAAATGAGGAAGTGAAAAGTTAAAAGTAGAGAAAATATTGGTCGGGGAAAAATTGTTAGGATTAAATTATTTTCACCCCTATCGAAAGGATATTAAAGGTTATATTGTCGACGGAAGCGATTTTATTGAGGAAGGAGAAGGAACCGGTATCGTTCACTTGGCTCCGGCTTTTGGAGCCGAAGATTTTATGGTTGCTAAACGGGAAAAATTAATGATTGAATGTCCGCTCGAACCGAATGGTTTGTTTAATGAAAAAATAAAAGTTTCGGAATTAGTTGGCAAGAATTACCAAGAAGTTAATAAATATGTTATCGCGGATTTAGAAAAAAGGAATTTAATAGTAAAAAAAGCAGAAATTATCCATAGTTATCCCCATGATTGAAGGGATAAAAGTCCGTTGGTTTATCGTTTAACTAAACAATGATTTATTAAAGTAGAAGCCATTAAAAAAGAATTATTGGAAAATATTGCCAAAGTAAAATGATATCCGACTTGAACTGAGGAAAAAATGCGACAAGTAATATCGGCTCGGGAGGATTGGTGTATTTCTCGGCAAAGAAAATGAGGGGTGCCTATTCCAGTTTTATATAGAAATAATGAACCAATACTTAATGCTGAAATTATTGATTATGTTGCGGAAATAGTTGCCAGTCGTGGTTCTGATTGTTGATTTGATGGGAGTATTTTATCGCTTTTGCGGGAGAAATTTTCGGATTTGACAGGTAAAGATACTGTTTTAGGAACTGATATTATGGATGTTTGGTTGGATAGTGGGGTTTCGCATTGGTGTGTTTTGAGGAAAATAAATTAAATAAATTTTAAAAGAAGAAAAAAACCAAACTAATTATTATTCACTAATTTTATCTGATTAGGATTTTCGTACCATACGAGAGCAACGGTAGGGTAACCAATTTTTTCAAATCAAACAACAGGGCTTTTCCCATATTTTTCTTCAAACGATTTTGTTGTTTCCTCCCATTGCTTATTATTTTCCCACTTTTGCAACTTAATAATTTCATTTATCTCATTTATCGGAATATAAAAATAATTTTTTTCAATTCAGCATGAAGCCTTGTATACTTTTCCGTTTTTGTCTATAAGAGGACCGTGATATTTTGCTGAGTAATTAACAATTATTCCAGAAAATTTTACTTTATCTATGCCTTTTAGACATTCCAATAAATTTGAAAGAAAAAAACATTTGATAATTTCTTCCTTCAATTCTTTATTTCATAATTTATCTTTTTCATTTTTTTCTAATCATAAGTCTACATCAACTCAGAAATCAGGCAACAAAATAGTTCAAATTATTATCTTTTCGCAGTCATACAATTTCAGTTTTTTATTTTTTCTCTCTAATTGATTTACCAAATTTCTCACTAAGTCGTTCATGTTTGTTTTTTTGAGATCAATGCTGTAATAATTTGAATTTTTTTTATAATGTCTTTCAAGTCCTTTATTAGAATTAAATTTTATTAAACCTTCTTTATTTTTTATTTTGGATCATTCCCTTTTTTCTATTTTGCTATAAACATTTCGAGTAATTGAACCGCCCCTTTTTTCATATGTTAAACTAGGGATTTTGGTTATTTCTATACCTAATAACCTTTTTTCTTTTTGGTTGTTGTTACCATTTATTGCCTTAATTAGGATATCGGGTTTATCATCAAATTCAATAATAAACTCTTGAAAATTTTTAGCAGAAATTTCTTTAAAAAGAATGTTAAATTCTGTTTTTAAACACTTTTCGAGTATGTTGTAATCATAGTTTAAAAAATAACTACAAAAAATCTTTTTAAGGTCGTCGACTTCTCCCCTTTTTTTTATTTCAATGTTAAACAACAATTCTCTGTCATAAAATTTTCAAACATGTTGCTTTTTTGAAACAATTTTTTTTATCTCTTTAAATTTGTTTTGATAATTTTCGTTAATTTTTCCAGTAAGTAGATAATTTCTTCAATTTTCTTGAATAGTTTCTTTTTCATCTCTTCTATTACTATTACAAAAATATATTTGAAATAAGACCGCAATTTTTAATTTCTCTTCTACGACTAGGTGAAATAAACTCCATAAGTCAAGTGTTATATTATATTGTGATGATGGCATATATCATTTTAATTTTAGTATTAAAATTAGTTAATATAGATAAAATGAACCACGAAAAAGACCAACAAATCCAATCTTTCCAAAATAAAATCCGAGAACTGGAACAAAAATTAGAGGACTATTCCCAAGGCGGAATAAAAATCCTTTTTTCTGGCAAAGCCAACGCCCAAAGAGTAGCCCGCAAAGTCAAACCTCGCACTTTACGCGAAATCCTAGAATTAAGTTTAGGCAGCGAGGAACAAAAATCCAAAAACTTAGTAATTGAGGGCGATAACTTACTCGCTATGGCTACCCTCTACCAGTATCACGGCAAAATCGACCTAATAATTGCTGACCCACCTTATAATACCGGTAAAGATTTTCGTTATAATGACCGCTGAGACCAAGACCCCAATGACCCTAATTTAGGTGATTATGTGAAAGCGGATGACCCCTCGCGACATACGAAATGAATGAAGTTTATGTTGCCAAGGATACAAATGATAAAGCAGATGTTAAGAAGTGGTGGAGTTTTAGCGATTTGTATCGACGAAAGAGAATTATTTAGGCTCGGAATGATGTTGAATGAGGTGTTTGGAGAGAATAATAGAGTTGCGATTATTAATTGACAAAAAGCCTATGGGGCAAAGTCAACTAGTCATGTTTCTTCGGCAACGGAATATGTTTTGGTTTATGCGAAAGAGTTAAGGAATGTTTCTACTGGTGCCTTGGAAAGAACAGAAAAACAAAGAACTCGTTTTTCTAATCCCGATGACGACCCAAAAGGCGATTGAGTTGCCGATAATTCACTGGCTCCCACAGTTAGCAAAAATTTAGTATACGGAATACAAAACCCTTTTAGCGGTCAAATCTATTACCCACCGCCAATGAGTCCTTGGCGGTGGGTGCGGTCGCGAATGAAACCACTTTTAGAGGAGTGGGGGTCGGAATATGAGGAAAAAGATTTGAAAGATGGTAATGTTCTTGGTTTAGTCCTAAAAGGTTTTAGTTTAAGCAATTTAGAAAATCCAGAAAAAGACCCTATTTTCCAGCAAGCGAGAGAAAAAGCCAAAGAAATATACGAAAATAAACCCTGACCGAAACTAATTTTTCTAAAAGGCGGTTTCGGCAAAATACGTTTTAAACTGTATTTTGCCGAGGTGTCGGAAGGAATAAAACCGCTGACTTGGTGAGGAAAAGAAGAAGAAAGTCCGCTAGAATTAGGAACTATCTCTTGACCGCACCAAATTTCCGGCCATAGCCAACAAGGAAGTGCTGAACTAAAAGCAACAACAGACACCGAAATAGAATTTGTGGGTGTTAAACCTCTTAAACTAATTACTAAACTTATCCAACTTTGATGCCCGCCCAGTGGCATAGTTTTAGACCCTTTTGGAGGTAGTGGAACCACCGGACATGCCGTTTTACAACTAAATAAAGAAACTAATGCTAACCGAAGTTTTATTCTCATAGAAACCGGAAATATGGAAAATAATGATAATTACTGCCGCACGCTTTTACAAAAAAGATTACAAGCCGCTATTACCGGAAAATGAGCCGACCAAAAAGAACATGAACCACTAGGAGGAGGATTTAAATTTACTACGCTGGATAAGCAAATTAACAACCAAGCCATTTTACAAATGGAAAGAAACGAATTAATTGATACCATAATTGCTAGTCGGATTGATAAATATCAGCAAAAATATCAAAATTTACAAATCTTAAAAAGTGAGAATTACCATTATTTAATTGCTAAAAATAGTAATCAGGAAGGTTTTTTTTTAATTTGGGATGGACCGAACCAAAATGTCAATTTCACCAAAGAAGTTTATCAAAAAGTAGTCCAAGAAGCCACCGAAAATAACTTAAAACCTCCTTATCATGTTTATGCTCGGCTTTATTTATGCCAAGTAGACACTGTGAATTTTTATCAAATTCCGAATAGTATTTTATTAGATTTTGGGTTTGATTTAGAGAAAGATAAATTAAATTAATACAATATAACAATGTAAAATTATAATATTATGAAGCAAGTAGAACCAAAACAAACTTTAAGCATTACCATACCCATTAGTCTCTATCAAAAATTACAACAGGAAGTAGGAAAAGGTAAAATTAGCCAGTTTATTAAAAACTTGGTCGAAAAAGAACTAAGCGAAGAAGAGGAAAAATTAGCCCAAGCCTATAAAAAGTGCTATGCTAATAACCCTCAATTACTAGAAGAAGTTAAATTATGAGAACGAGCCGGAATAGAAACTTGACTGAAACGTGAACGAGGATTTTATAACCGAACAAAGTCAACTAAAAAAACAAGCAAATCAACCAGTAAGTAAATGGCAGAAAATTTAATTCGTAGAGGAGAAATTTATTGAGCAGATTTACCTGATAAAAAGGGGCGGGAACTAAGAGAACCCTACCCTTGCCTAGTAGTCTCCAATGATAAACAAAACACATTCAGCCCTCTAATAATCATTCTGCCAATCACTTCCTTAAAAGTCGGCGATGAAGCCTTTCCTTTTCAAGTAGTCATCCAACTTCAAAAAGAGAGAGTAATCCTAATCGACCAAATTCAAACTATCGACCGGGAGAAGTTTAAAGGGAGGATTGGGAAAATAAACCCTGAACTAATGGAGGAGGTGGAAAGAAAAATCCATTTAGTATTAGCCTTAAAAAATTAAAAAAGCATGCTAGAATTATTTGAATTTCAAGAAAAAGCCGCTTTAAAAATAGTGGAAAAATACGAGCAATATCTTCGCTGTCAAATCGTTATCAAGAAAGGAAATGAGGAAACCCCAGTACCTTTTATCCAAATTTTAGATGCCTTAACTGGTTCAGGGAAAACAGTAATTTTAGCCAAAACTATCGGCGAAATAAGTAAATTAAGTCAAGAAAACCCAATAATTTTATGATTAAGCAAAGCCAGTGTGGTAGTGGAGCAAAGTTTTAATAATTTAACTAGCGGCGGTAAATATCACCATTTATTAGGCAAATGTCAGGTTATCATGCTTGCTGAATATCGTGAAAGTTTATTATTCGAAAATGAGCCGCTGGTTCTTTTTGCTACCGTGGGAACTTTTAACCAAAAAGATAAAGAAGCCGGTAATCGCCAAATTTATCAATGTAAGTTAGACGAACAAAATCAAAGCACTTGGGACAGTTTAAAAAATCGGGGTGAACGGCCGCTTTTTATTGTTTATGATGAAGGACACAATTTATCCGACCAGCAAACTGATTTGTTATTAGAGTTAAAACCGGAAGTTTTTTTAATGGCTAGTGCGACCATGAAATTTCCCCACAAATTAGCCGAACAGTTTACCGAATTAAAAAAAGAAAGCAAGTGGCAAGACCAAGATTTTTTTACCCAAGTGCCGACTAATGAGGTAGTGGAAGCCGGTTTAGTGAAAAAAGTAATTCAGTTAGCCAGTTATGAAAACCCGCGAGAGGAAACCATTTCCTCGCTGGTTGAGGATTTAAGGGTCATTGAAAACCAACTCCAAAATAATTTACCGAACCAAAAACCCAAAGCGATTTATGTTTGTCGCACTAATGTTTTGGAGTTTGACCCTTCTTTACAGGATAATATTCAACAAAATTTTACCCAAAGAAAAGCCCCGCCAATTTTAATTTGACGCCATTTAGTCGAAAAGTGCCAAGTGAAACCGGAAAATATTGCGGTTTACTGTGATTTAAAATTTAGTCGAGATTTTCCTAAACCTCCGGAATTCAATTTATTTGCTGGGAGTGGAGAAAAGAAATATCAGGAATTTATTAGTGGTGATTTTCAACACATTATTTTTAACTTAGGATTACAAGAAGGTTGGGATGACCCTTTGGTTTATTGTGCCTATATTGACCGTTTGCTTAATTCTTCTCTCGCGGTGAAGCAAATTATCGGCCGAGTTTTACGCCAACCTAAACCAACTATCACTCACCAATTACCGGAACTGCTTAACACCGCTCATTTTTACATCCAAGTCGAAAAACAGTCTACTTTTCAAGAGGTGATTGAAGAAATTAATCATGAATTAAAACAGAATGGTCCTGGTATTCAAATTAAACCAATTACCCCGAACGAGAAACCGGAAATTATAAAAGTTCAAGGCATTTACCAATTACCAAAAATTATTTGTAATGCCTTTTACGCAGAACCAGAAATAACCGAAATCATTAAAAAAATACCGGATTGAAGAGAAGACAAAATTAATACTCAGGGCGATAGTTATCGAACTATTGCTAAAAAATACATTGACGAACAAGGTAGTTTTCAAGAAACAATTCACGAAAAAACTGGTGCTACGGATAGAATTACCGTCCGAGCCGTTTTTTACCGGGAAATTATTCGTAAACTTTCCCAAATTCGAGGAATAATTTTGTTAGATGAACCTAAATTTGATGCTCTGATTGGCTTCAAATCCAATGTTTATAAGCAAGTTGTTGAAATAGTCGATAAAGTTATCGATGTTTACTTAAAAAATTCCCAACTCGAAATAAATGAAACAGAAGTTTATACCGTTTCCGACTTATTACTTTACAATCCTGCTAATTCTATTAATTTTACTAATAGCATTCACGAAAAATATTCTCAATTGAATAAGTTGGAAGAAAAATTCGCTCGGGAATTAGATAAATTTGGTTTTAAATGGTGCCGTAATCCGGCTCGAACTGGCTACGCTATTCCACTTATCACTCTGGGTTCAACCCGAAATTTTTATCCTGATTTCTTGATTTTCCTACCAAATAAAATTATTGCGATTGACACTAGTGGCGAGCATTTGATTAAAGACAAAGTCGACCGCAAATTATTAAATATCGGTTCTAAATTATTGGTCTGTTTTGTTTCGAGTGGAAAGTGGGATGAAAAAACCATAGAAAAAACTGATGAAAATGGTTGGACTTTGTGAAGAAGGCGAGCCAATGATGGCGATTTATCAAACATTTATCGGGAAATTTGTCCGACTTGCTGAAATTAATTTTGAGGGCATAAAAAATATGCTGCTTTTTAATAATCAATCTCCTCTATTGTATCCATTAGAACAAATTTATTTTTAAGTTTTTGAAAGTTAGTTAAAAAATCAATACTTTGAAAATCTTTTAGGATTAAAAAATCGGGGAATTTTTTAGTTAATTTTTCCAAATCTTCTTGTTTAACAGTCTGAGTTTCTAAGAGACATTTTTTATTTTGGTAAACTGCTAGGTAATGCTTGCTTTCCTGACTGTCAATAGTCAACAAACTAATACAACTACTATCTCCGGCTTGTAGTAATAAAGTATTTATGTGATATAATTTAACTTTCGGATTAAGAACCTGATAAGTAGCCAAAAAGGCTAAACTAATTCTAAGTCCGGTTTGCCCGCTGGGTTGGGAAGTAAAATAAATTTCATTTATTTCTTTTAAAGGGCGATTAGTTTTTTCGCAAATCTGACGCAAATAAGCCAAAAAATTTTCTGAATGAAGTCGCCGATTTTCTTTTTGGATGCTAATTAAACATTGGTTATTTTCTCATAGAGCCAAAAAAAGAAAAGAGGAGGATAAACTAAAATAGAGATAATTCATAACAGTTTTCAAATGCTTTCACCACTCCCATTTTTTCTGCTTCGTTTTGTGATGAATTTTGCAGAATTCAATTTAAAGTGTTCCAATCTTTAATCAATGAAGTATAGTCAATCTCTCCACAAAAATATTCGTTGTTCATTATATTTATTTTTTCCTCTTTCGCTATTTAATGGTTACTTTTTAGTTCTAATTCTACAAAATCATCTACTTCAAAAATCTTCTTGTCTTTGTCCTTGGCAAGAATAGTAAGTTTATAAGAATATTCTGCACCTGAATAAATTGTTTTGCCTGCTAAGTTAGGATGAATATTTTTTATAAAAAATCAATACTTATCATCACGAAAATTTTGGGGAATTGATTTCGAAGTATTAGTATTATCAGGCAAAATATCTAGACAGCAAAAACGATAATAATCTTCAAAATTATCAGGAGGATTGTTCGAAATGGTTTGATAGTTACACCACACCTCAATTTCTAATTTTGGGTCGTTATTAGTAGGTGGGGTGGGAGAAGGAAGCGGGTTGAAGAACTTACCGATTAACTCTCGAGCTTTGACTTCTATTTTAGTTTTGTCTCCCACTTGTTCGGCAATGGCTCCGGAAACTCCGCTCCCGAAACCAATATGAGTATTAGCAGCATTAACAATGACACTTGATTTATGTAATGCTTCATTAATTTCTCGGATATCTCTTGTCCTGACCTCTATGCCCTTTAATTTAAAGTTTTTTAATTCTCCGGCAAAATGGTTATCTTCCTCTCAAAAAGTAGTAAAATCAAATAATTCCTTTTCTAGTTGGAGAATTTTTTGCAAAAAATAGGGTTCGGAGTTATTTCCTCAATCTAGCAAAAGAAGTTCTTTTGTTTTTTGACATTTTTCTAATTGGTTAACCGCCCCCCGAATTATCCCTTCAACTAATTTTTGGGGGCTGCAACTGCCGCGATAAGTGCCACCGCCTACCAACGGAATAGCCAAGCATTCAAAATTATTTCTATCGGCTAAAATAATAGAATTTTGAACTGATTTTACTACACAATTAATAAAGTCTTGGTCGGAGGTAAAACTACTCCGTGGATTGGGAGCAGCGTGAATAATATGGGTTATTCCTTTGCTGTTTAATATACTATCGCCTTTCCCTGAACCATCCAAAGTATCAGTCATTAAAGCCGAACCGGCGGGCAAATGGGTTTGGTCAGCAGTATTATAATCAGTTCCCACTGAGGAAATTGGCAACGGAGGATTAGTTTTGTATTCTGGTTCTTGTCCGGTTGCTAAAATTGCTTCAAAATGGTTATTTCTAGGAATAGGTAGAGGTGGTAGAGGGATTGGCGGCAGAGGAATAGGGTTAGGGTTTTGGGGGGGTTGGGGAAGAAGGGGGGTGTTTTGCTTTGGCTCCTTATTTTGATAAACTACTATGCCAACGGATATTCCAACCACCAATAAAACCGTTAGACCAATTAATAATAATCCATTAGTTCTTTTTTTGACTTTTTGATTGTTTCTCTTTTCCATAACAAATTATTTTTAGTCTCGAAAGTATTATTTAGCAATTTTTTTTATCAAGTTAGGTGCTTTGGTTAAAGAACAACTTCCGTCAATGTTTTTAGGAAAAGCAATTAACTCTTTCAAATTATTGGTATTTAGTATTACCGCCAGTAAACGGTCGATTCCTAAACCAATTCCGCCGTGCGGAGGGGCAGCAAACTCTAAGGCTTGTAAAAAGTAGCCGAAGTTTTTTTCTCTTGCTTCGGGGCTATAACCTAAAATTTCTAAAATTTTTTCCTGTAATTCTCGCTGGTAAATACGAATACTGCCACTTAGTATTTCCTCACCGTTACATACCAAATCAAATGCTTCACAGATTACTTTTTCGGGTTCTATTTTATTATTTAGTAAAGGCTTGATATATTTTTTTTGCGGAATAGTAAAAGGATGTCGAAAACTCTCATACTTTTTAGTTTCTTGGTTATATTCAAAAAGCGGTCAATCAGTTATTCACAAAAATTTCAACTCTTTTTCATTCTTGGGGTTAGAGCGTAAATCTGGTTTATCAGTGCCGTATTTTTTCATAATTTCCTGATAGGTTAAGGAAAGAAAAGGGATTTGGATTTGGGAACCAAAGACTTTTTTTAAGGTGCGTTGGAGTAATTTTTCGACTAGCCTTTTTATTTCCCTGACGGAGGTAAAACTCATTTCTAAATCTAATTGGGAAAATTCGATTTGGCGGTTGCTCCGAGCACCTTCATTGCGAAAAGATTTAGCAATTTGGTAATATTTGCCTAATCCTCCCATCATTAACAACTGTTTAAAGATTTGGGGAGACTGGGGTAAAGTGTAATAACGATTTTTCAAATTAGAAGGAACTACGAAGCAGTTGGCTCCCTCCGGCGAATTTTGGGCTAAAATTGGGGTTTCGACGTCAATAAATCCTTGTTGGTGAAAGAAATTTCTTATCTCATAGCATCATTTATCTTTAACCAAAAGAAAGTTTTTACTGCGGGGACGACGTAAATCTAAATAGCGATAACGATAGCGAGTGTCCTCATTAATACCGATTTCAATTTTGTCTTTAATTTCAAAAGGCAACTCTTTACTACTATTTATTAATTGAAACTTAGTTAATTCAATTTCTGGCGTTTCTGCTTTTTTTGAGTCTTTTTCTGGTTTTTTTATTTTGATAATACCCCATATTTTTAGCAAATCCCCTTTATTTATTTGTTTTAGGTGCGAAATTAGTTCCTTATTTTTAACTACAATTTGAATACAACTACTACTGTCTTGACCAGTAATGAACCACAACGAATCTCCTTTTTTATTAATGTTGATAATCCAAACGTAAAGAGCGGTTTTTTTATTTAACTTTTTCAGAGTTAATTTGGAAATTTGGGAAAAAGAAACCATTGCTTATTTAATAAATTAATTTTATTGAAATTACAGAAAAACAAATAATATTTTTTTTGAAATTCATAAACGGGTTAGAAATTCGGTGGAAACTAGTAAGACAAATGGTAGTGAAAAGGTTTGGGAAAGAAATAAAAAAAGATTTAAACAATTAAGAAAGATAAAAGGGGAGGATGATGATAAGTATGAAAAATAATCTAACTAGTGTAAGTGAAAACGACCTGGCTTTTTACAAATTATGCAAACTCCTTTTTCTTTGGCTTCTTTCTCACAAGCAGAGCAACAAAATTTCCCTCTTACATTCATTATATCAATAGGAACCATTTTTTCAAACTCCACTTGGCAATCACGACAAGTAATTTTTCTCTTTATCATTTTCTTAACCATAATAATTCTATTTTATTTAAAATCTCTTTATATTTTCCCTCTATTTTTACCCCTTCTATACCAAAACACTCACCAACTAAAATTAAACCAAAATGTCAATTATTCTCCCTAATTTAATAACTCCCAAAGAAATCCATACTAGAACTGAACTCTGAAAAGATAAGATTTATCACCTTACTAATAACCCTTATAAATTCCCTAAAAATAACGGTTCAGCAGATTTTATTCCTCTCCCTAAAAGATTTGCCGAAATAATTACCGAATTTAAAGCAGCCATCCAAGAGCAAAAAGACGAAGAAAGACCCGAAACCGAAAGAACCCAAGCCCAAACCCGAATAAATGAAATCTACTCCGAAATTAAAGCACTTATTCAGTCCCAAATTACAGCCTCAGAAAACTCTTTTATAATTTTTACCCCTGAAATACTATTCACCGAGCAAGAAAAGCAAACAGGGTAATATCTTTTATTCTTATAATATTACAACGCCAATAATTATTTATAGTTTTATTTTTTCTCTAAACCTCCCAAAATAAGGAATTAGGACTTAAATTACTATAGAAAAACTCTAACTTTGTAATAACTGTTTTTTTGCTTTATAAGTTATATTTTTTCATACTGTTTTGGATTATGAAGAGGAGAATTTAACTTATTTTGTTGTTTGATTTTCATACCTATATATTATTTTAAAAGTTATTGAGATTTCTTTGCCACTTTTTCTAAATCCAGCAAAGCATTTCGAAAAGCAATGGCTTGGTCGAATTTAAACTCCCGCGTAGACCTTTTCATTTGCCGTCGTAAAATTTTAATTTGTTTAGTTAATTCTTTTTCGGCTATTTCTCCTCGCTGGGCTTTTTCAACTAAAACCGTTATTTCGGGGTCAAGAACTATATCTCGAACCGGTTTTTGGACTGTTTGAGGAGTAATGTCATTATTATTATTATATTCTGCTTGGATTTTTCTCCTCCGATTAGTTTCGTTAATGGCACCATGCATATTATTAGTAATTTCGTTCGCATAAAGAATAACTTTGCCACTTTTGTTTCGAGAAGCCCGACCAATAATTTGAATTAAAGAACGAGTATCCCGTAAAAATCCGGGTTTGTCAGCATCCAAAATACAGACCAAGGAAACTTCCGGTAAGTCTATTCCTTCTTTCAATAAGTTAATTCCGACTATGACATCATATACCCCCCTCCGCAAACTAGTAATAGTTTGATAGCGTTCAAAAATTTCTAACCGGCTGTGTAAATAGACTACTTTAATATTTCTTTCTTGGAGATAACTAGCAATATCCTCGGACATGAGGATAGTTAGAGCATAAATCAAAACTTTTCCCCCTTCTTTTTTTCTTTTCCCTATTTCTTGCATGATATCCTCAATTTGGTTTCGGGAATTTCTTACTTCTATCTCGGGGTCAAGTAATCCAGTAGGACGAATAATTTGCTCGACCGGTTGATAATTTACTTTGGCTAGTTCAAATTCTCCCGGCGTAGCCGAAACATAGAGAGTATAATTAACTTTTTGAAAAAATTCCTCTTGACTGAGTGGTCGGTTATCCAATGCCGAAGGTAGGCGAAAGCCATATTTTATTAAGGTTTCTAACCGATGGCGATTAGTGTTATACATTCCTTTTATCTGCGGAATAGTAATGTGTGATTCATCAATAATGGTTAAAAAACCGGATGGAAAATAATCCAGCAGGGTAAAAGGGGTTTCTCCGACCTTTCTTTTGTCAAAATAATGGGAATAATTCTCAATTCCCGGACAAAAACCCATTTCACGTAAATTAAATAAGTCCTCTCGAACTCTTTTTTCTAATCTTTCGGCTTCCAAAAATTTATCTTCTTTTCTCAGATTTTCCTTTTGCTCCTCTAACTCTTTGTTAATTTGGGACAAAATTTCAATTAATTCTTCTCCTTCCTCTCCTACATAATCTTGACTAGGCGGAATAGCAACTTTTGCTAGTTCTTGAACTTTTTCTTCTATTTGTTTGTTTCTCTTTTCTATTTTTGAGATTTTATCTTCGCTAATTTTTATTTGGAAATAATAATTTTCCTCTCATCCTAACATAAAACAAATGCTATTTTCCTCGATTTGAAAGTTTCCGGAATTGATTTTTTTATCATTTTTGTATCCCAGCAGAAGTAATTTTTCTCGAATTAAATCAAGGTCTATTTTTTGTCCCTTGGCTAAGTGAATAACCACTTTCCGATAAGAAGTTGGGTTAAAACAACCATAAATGGCGGCTACCGAGGCTACCACAATTACGTGCTTATCGGTAACCAGAGCATTAAGAGTTTTGAGCCGCATTTTGGCAATGCTGGCGTTCCGCTGAACTTTTTTGCCAATATACATGTCGCTAACTGGTTTATAGGCTTCCGGTTGATAATAATCAAAATAAGAAACATAATATTCGACTCGATTATGCGGAAAAAAACCTTGCATTTCCTGATAGATTTGCATGGCTAAGGTTTTGTTATGAGCCAGAACTAGGGTCGGTTTTTGGGTTTGTTCGATAATGTTAACCATGGTAAAAGTTTTTCCGGTGCCGGTGGCTCCCAAAAGTACTTGCTCTTTTTTTCCTTCCCGAATACCCTCCACTAGTTTTTTGATAGCGGCAGGTTGGTCTCCTTTTGGTTGAAAATTGGCGGTTATGGGTTGAAACATTACTATAAGTTTTTTTAATGATATTTTTTCGCTTATCTCATAAATTATTGGGGTTAAATATACAAAATATTAAATTAAATTTTTTGGTTTAATTGGTGGGAAAATTTCGTAATTCAGTTTTTTAATGTTCCTTAATCAAAAAGGTTCTTGGTTAATTTAAAAATAGGTTAAAAGTTGTCATTAATTTTGAACGGATATCAATCTCACAGTTCATATTTTCCTTGTTTTCGAGGTGAAATGAGTATGAAAAGGACTATCTTATTCATGGTTTAGAAATCGGCAATTACTCTGTTTATGTCATTCTCAAAATTTTAACTGTTGAAGTTTAGGGATATGTTTTGACTAAAATAATATTATATAATCTTATGGAAAGAAACGAAAAAAACGAATACGAAAATATGTTTAATGGTCGAGAGAGAGAGAGAGAGAGACGAAAAGGATAATCGAACGCCGAGATAGAGAAAAATTACTAGAAGAATTGGTCGAATTAGAAAATGAAGAAGCCTCCTGTTGAAGCAAAATATTTTGGAATACTCTTTCACTTTTAATTGTAGAACCAATCTTGGTTGCCGGCACTGTTTATTATTTTTGATCTCAAATTAAAGAATCATTAACTGCTGGGTTGGTAATTGTCAATTTAGGTTCCCAATTAAAATGAACTGCCATTGGTTTTGCAGTTGTTTTCACCTCAACTTCTTTAACTCTGATTTATTATATTTGAAAAGTGTCTAGTTTAAAAAAACAAGCAGCCAAAATTAAGCAAAAAATTTACCAAATAGAAAGAAAATTAACCTAAAAATAATAATATCAAGTTTGTATCTCATGGAATTAACTATTATTAAAAGTTCAACCCTCGCTATTTCGTCTCAGAAAATGAATCTAGTAGCCGGTTTAATTAGAAAAAAAAATTTAGATTACTCCCTTAATTTATTGTCTTTTTTGCCAAAGAAAGGCGGTCGAATACTCCATAAATTATTACAGGGAGCAGCGAAAAACTTAGAGAAACAAAAACAAGAAGTCGGCAATTTTTATTTAAGTAAAATTGAAGTAAATCAAGGCAAAACTCAAAAGCGAATTATGTATCGTGCCAAAGGTCGTTCCGACCGAATAAAAAAAAGACATTGTTTAGTTAATTTATACTTATCAAAAAAAGACGTTAAAATAAGTAATAAATAAAAGAGAATTATACTGCCACTTTTGCTTTAATTGGTGGATAAGGGTCATAATTTTCTAAATTAATATCTTCAAAACGAAAATCGAAAAGTGATTTTATTTCCGGATTAAGTTTCAGAATTGGTAATTTTTTTGGTTCACGAGTTAATTGTTCTTCAACTTGTTGGAAATGATTTAAATAAATATGGGTGTCGCCAATGACATGAATAAACTCTCCGACTTGGAAGCCACAGACTTGGGCTATCATTTGGGTTAGTAAACTATAACTAGCGATATTAAAAGGCACTCCCAAAAACATATCACCGCTCCTTTGATATAATAAGCATGATAATTTCTTATCAGCGGAAACAAAAAACTGAACTAAACAATGACAAGGCGGAAGGAGCATTTTTTTAATTTCTGGCGGATTTCAAGCGGTTAAAATATGGCGACGAGAAAAAGGATTTTTTTTCAAATTTTCTACTAATTCTTTTAACTGGTCTACTCCGTTGAAATTTCGCCACTGTTTCCCATAAACCGGACCTAATTCTCCATGTTTCCGAGCAAAATCATTATCAATTCTAATCTTTTCCACGAACTCTTTCAAACTTTCTCCCCCGTAATCAAACGATAATTTATATTTTTCAAAAGGCCATTCATTTCAAATATTAACTTTGTTATCAACTAAGTATTTAATATTGGTATTGCCCCGAATGAATCAAAGTAATTCATGAATAATTGCTCGAAAGTTAACTTTTTTAGTAGTCAAGAGTGGAAAACCATTTTTTAAATTAAAACGCATTTGGCAACCAAATAATGCTGTGGTTCCTACTCCGGTTCTATCTAGTTTTTTTTCACCCTTTTTTAGGATAGAAGATAATAAATTTAAATATTGTTCCACAATTATTTTTTAATAGTTAGCCCCACCGAATTTAAACATTTTTTTAATTTTTCTATAACTATTTTTTAGTCCTAAAATATCTAGGTAATAAATGATTTGAATAATATAGTTTAATGTATTCCTTAAAGGATAAAAATAATTTTGCTGTAAAATAATTTAATAAGAATGTCCCCTTCTTCAAAAATTAGTCTCTGAAAAAAATTTTTATCTTCCTTGCTTAGACTTTTTTTCTTATATATTCCTAACTTACTTTTTACTCAATTCTTTTTTAGTGCAATTTATTCATTATTTATTCTAGAAAAAATTGATAATTATGCTGAATTGATTAATCCTGTGTTTTGAAAACCTTTTAACAAGAATTGGTTTTTGGGTAGGGAAGGATTTATTTTGTTTTGTGTTTCCGCAGTCATTTTATTTTTTTTATTTTTTTATCTTTATGATTTTTTCGCTCAAAAATTAATGGTCGAAATTAGTGCCTATTTAAAAAACAAGGGTTTGAAAAAGTTTCGCCGCTTGGGTTTGGAAGAACAAATAAAAAGAAAAAAAGAGATTAGTAGTTTAGTCGAAAGGGATAACGAAACAATTAGTTGTCATTGGGTTAACATTTGAAGAAAGTTATTTGAAGGTTTGTTTGCTTTTGCTTTATTTTTTTATACTTTTTTATACAAAAAGCAACAAGGGGAAGAAAAAAACCTTATTAGTAATCGAACTCTTTTTTTCACCCTTTTTTGGATAGTTTTTATTACCGCAGTTATGTTCTTTTTTTATAAAATCGGTTATCGTTCAGGGAAAAGAAATAAAGAAACCGTTGCCCGAGAGCATGTTTTTATAAATCGAGAAATAGATAATATGGTGTTGGTTAATAGTATGGGATTGAGAACTGATTACGAAAAGGAACAGCAAACTTTAACCGAAAAATCTAATTTAGCCAAAATTTCAACCAAAAAAATAGTTAATTTAGAATTGACTATTCCGTGGAGATTATTGGTTAATCTTTTCCCTTTCATTCTTCTAATTTTAGAACCTAGACGGGTTGGAATTGGTTTTGAAGTTGTTTGAGATGTTTTAAATAAGTGTACTTGGGCGTTTGGATATTTAGGGAACTGGTCGGATTATGCTTCCTCCCGAGCAAGGGTGGTTGCTTTTTTAAATTTACCCGAAAAAAATGATAATTTAAAAGGAATTAAATTTCCTCTTTCCTCCCCAATTAAAGAAATTACTTTTGAGCAAGTTTCTTTTAAATACCAAGGGAGTAATGATCGAATGAATTACAATGCCACCTTTTCAACTGGTAAGATAAATTACTTATCCACTCCCAACGGAAGCGGAAAAACTACCCAGTTATATCTTTTGTTAGGATTATTAAATCCCGTTAAAGGCGAAATAACGATTAAAAATAAAGAAACTAGTTATAAACTTTCCAAACTCAATTTAGAACACTGACGCCAAAAAAACGTCGCTTTTTGTTCTTATCGAACTCTAATTAAAGAAAGTTCTACCGGACAGAAACAATTGGCTAATTTAAAGCAAGTTTTAGCAAGCAAAGCCGAGGCTCAGGTCTTCATTTTTGATGAAGCCGATAACGCCTTAGATAAACAGAACCAGATTTGGTTCTGAACCCAAGTAAAAAAGTTAGTCGAAGCGAAGAAAATAGTTATCTATGCTAGACAGTTAGGTGAAAAAAACAACCTGTTGAATACAGGAGAATTAGCCAACAGTCCGATAAATGAAGGAATATAATTAAGGGGATAAACAAAAACCATTTTTAGTATCTGTTTGTCGGCTTTCAATTGCTAGTAATAATCATTAGAAATTTATTTTCTTAGTTTTGGTTAAATATAATTCCCTAATATAATGGTTAATTTCTAGTAATAATTTTTCCTCTTTTAAAAAACCACCGGTCCTTAATGCTTCGAGGCGGACAAAACAACATTCTCCACAATAATTTAACCAAGAACCGCCTCAGGAAATTCCTTTTAAACTAGAAGACATTATGTTTTCTTTTTCCTTGCCGCAATTATCACACTTTTTCAATGAAGGTAAAGAATGAACTAAAAGGGTAAGATTGGCTTCTGCCCCTGACCAATTTTTACCATTTAAAATAAATTCGAATTTTTTACCAGATTCCATAATTAATTACTAATACTCAATTCCTTGACGAGCCTTTCCTCCTTTGTAGAAATAATGCTTTTGGAGTTTAACTTGCGAAACTAAATCGGCAACTTCTTTTAATTTATCACTTAAATTATGGCCCGAAAGGGCTATCGCAATATGAGGTTTTTTATTTTTGAGAATATTTATCAAAACTTCTTCGGATAACTGTTTATTATGGATACAACCCAAGATTTCGTCCACCACAATTAAGTCTACTTCATCCTTTTGAGTTATTTCTTGAAATTTGGCAACTCCCTCATTAATTTCTTTCTGTAAATTGCTTTTTTCTTGGTCGTTCATTTCTCAAAAGAATTTATCCGAGGAATGGTAGAAATCATATATTTTTAGGTTCTTGTTGTATGGCTCAATTTGAGTTATTTTTTCGAAAAACTTTAACTCGCCAGTGGGACGGTTTTTTAGAAAGCGTAAATAACAAACCCGTCAATTATTTCCTAATGCTCTTATAGTCATTCCATTTAAGTGAGAAGTCTTCCCCTTACCGTCTCCATAATAGATATAAATATAGCCCTGTTTTTGTTTTTCCATACTATTTTTTTAATTTTGTTTTTAAAGTTCGCATCTATCTTGACTTTGGCAAACTTTACAAGTCCAACAACCTCCAAGCAGAACCAATTCTCCTTTAAAACAAATTTTACATTCTTCTTTTTCAGTTTTTAAATCACTAAATTTATTCTCCTCTTTCTCTAAACTTAACACTTGTAAATCGCGACAACCATCTACGTAAACAGTTCCGCCCTTGGCTCCTTTTTCATATAGCGTTTCATAAATTTTTTTGACTTGTTCCACTTTATAACCTTTGGGAGCATTAATAGTCTTAGAAATGGAACTATCTACTCAACGCTGAATAATACATTGAACGTTCACATGTTCCTCAGGGGTTAGTTCCATGGCTGAGACAAAAATATCAGGCAATTTATCTCCTTTATATTCCGGGTGGTACTGCTTTCATTCTTGAACAATCGGGCAATCAACTTTTATAAATTTTCCTAATCTTCCGGAGCGATAGTAAGAAAAGGCAAAATAAGGTTCTAAACCGGTCGAAACTCCGACTAAGGTTCCGGTGCTACCGGTGGGAGCCACGGTTAGCAAATGTGAATTGCGAAGTCCGTGTTCTCTAATTTTTTCTTGTGTCTCTTTCGGCAAAGTTTGAATAAAACCTGACTTATCAACCAATTCATTTTTGTTTTTTAAAAAAGGAAAAACTCCTTTTTCTTGGGCCAGTTCAACGGAAGTTTTATAGGCGGTTAAACAAATAGTTTCAAACAATTTATCTACTAATAAGTTCGCTTCGGTCGAACCATATTTTAACCCTCTATAAATTAGAAAATCATGGAGTCCCATTACTCCCATTCCAATTCTTCTCTCTCCTTGGGCTTGTTCGGTATTTTTTTTTAAAAAGTAATAGGTAGTATCAATTATGTTATCTTGAAATCGGATACACAAATTTACTGTTTTTTTTAATTCTTCTCATAAAATTTCCGAAGTTTTTTTATTTACGAAAGAAGCCAAATTAATAGCACTTAAATTACAGACTGAATAAGGTGGTAAAGGTTGCTCGCCGCAAGGATTAGTAGCAACTACTTTTTTTCCGTAGCCTTTGGCATTAGTAAAATAATTAGCCCGGTCAAGGAAAAATATTCCTGGTTCTGCTGAATAAGTAGCACAAGAAACAATTAAATTTCATAACTCCTGAGCCCTAACTGTATTACACTTTTTCAGTTTATATCCTTTCTTTTCTCATTCATAAGCATCCCCGATTTCATTTCATTCCTGGTCGTATATTTTTTTTTCCTCTTTTGAATAACTATCTAAGTCAGGGAAAACCAAATTTCATTCTTTATTTTCTTTTACGGCTTGCATAAAGCGGTCCGAGATACAGACCGAAATATTGGCTCCGGTTAGTAAGTTAGGATTTTTTACTTTTCATTCTTCCCCCTTCTTTTTTAGTTTATTACTGATTTCTTTTTTAATTAGTTCATCCTTAATATTTTCAGAAAGCAGAAGCAGAGCATTAGGATTCTGAATTTTGGAAATCACGAATTCAATAATGTCCGGATGTCAGTCGGCTAGCATAATCATTTGGGCTCCGCGGCGTGAACCTCCTTGTTCGATTAAATGAGTTAGTTGGGAAAGATAATTCAATCAAGGAATTGCTCCGCTTGATTTTCCTCCTACCTCTTTCGCTTGAAAACCTTTCGGACGCAAAGTGCTACCATTACTTCCTACTCCTCCTCCTCTTCGCATAATTTCGGCTACCTGAGCAAAGTGCTCGCTAATAATTTCAGTGGCCGAATCCTTAATATAAGGCATGACATAACAGTTAAAGAAAGTGACGTTGGAGCCACTTCCGGCTCCGTGGAGTATTCGACCAGCCGGGATAATTTTAAAATCCCTAATTTGTTTTTCGAATTCCGAAGCATATTTAATCCTTAATTCATTCCCTTTTTCCGGTTTAGCAATTGCTCGTCCTACTCTCTCCGCAATTTGTTCTCAAAATAACTCCAACGGTTTTTCAATTTCAAAAGTTTGTTTAGTTATTTGCCGTGGTTTATTTTGATATAAAAGGTTGGGGTCAATGCCGCTCTCAAATTCTTCTTCAATTTCAATCACTCAAAATAGATTTCCGTGCTGGTTAGTAAACTGGTTGATAATCATTCCAATTCCTCGGCTAGAAAAATAGGGGTCGTGCCTGATAGTAGTAATAACTATATCGCCAATTTGTAAAGTTTTCAATTCTTTATCTTTTTGGGAATAGCGGTCTAACATTACTAGGCGAGATATGCCGTTTAAAGTTAGGTTAAAATCTTGTCGAATAGGACAAAGGTGAGGAAAATTTTTAGTAAGGGTTTGATTTAATTTTTCGATAGTTGGGAGGGAATAGGGGGAAGATACTTTCATATAATATTAATTGTAAACGATTTTATTTTTTTGCTAATTTTTGAAAATTATAATGCTTAATTTCGCCTAGCAGGCTTTAAATTTTTAACTGCTTTAAATAAGATTCAAAAAAATTATTTTTAGTCCTCTTTTTCTTCTCAAATGCCTAATCTTTTCTTTATTTCTTTTACCACTTCAACATCAATTTTTCTATCTTTAAAACCTTGCTCTAAGGTGACATTATAAGCGTTAAGTTTTTCCTCCCTTTCAATTAATTCTTTTCTTTCGCTTGGCATAACCTCTTCTTTAAGGTCTCTCAATTTTTTTATTTCTACTTCACGTTGTCAGAAATCTCACAAGAGCATTAATTTATTTTCGATACGTTCGGCCTCTTTTCAATTGGTTTTATACCATTCTTGGTTATCTTTATTTTGCCTTTCAATTTCTTTAAGTTTAGCCAAAAACTTTTTCTTCAATTCTCTTTTATCGGTAATAAGTTTTCTTAATTGGGATTCAATATCTTCCAGTATTTTTTCGGCTTTGGTTCTTTGATTTCTTCTACTAGTTAATTTATTACCATTGATTTCTACCATATCCTTTAAATATATTTTATTTTATTATTCTAATGACTGATTAAAATTACCATTTTTTTTTTGCTAATTTTTTCTACTTTTTGGCGGAATTCTTGCCGATTGGTTTCATCTAAGGCATTATCGGCTTCATCAAAAATAAATATTTCTTTCTTTCCGCTATTGATAAAAAGTTTGTTTAAATCGACTAACTGTTTTTGACCGGTTGACAAACCATTTTCAATTAAGTTTTCATGCTCGGCATAGGCTATTTTTTCGCGTCATTCGTTTAGGTTTATTTCATTTAATTTATGTTCCTTATTAATGGTTATTTCTCCTTCGGTGGGCTGATATAACCCCATAATTAGGCTAATTATAGTGCTTTTGCCAAAACCATTTGCACCGGTTAAGTGATTAATTTTACCTTTTTCAAACTCCCAATCTAATTTTCGCAAAACTGGTTGTTTGCTTTCCGGATAAGAAAAACTTATTCCTTTCAAGGTTATACTTTTTATATTTTCGTCAATCAGGATGTTTTTTTGGATATCGTTTCGCTCCGGGAGAGCCAGGAAATTATTAATTTGTTTCTGAGCGGAAAGTCCATAAGGATAATCCCGTAGTCTTTCGGTTATTTTTTTGGTTGAATCAGCCAAATCAATTATTTTAGTTACCGCAGAATAAGCGTTGTCCGATTTAACCGCAAAAGGTAAGAAAATAAAACTAGACATTCGCACTAAGGAGTAAGAAGGGACTACCCACGAAAGGGTATAAACTAAATCTCGGCGATTAGCCTTCTGGTGAGTTTTAGCCAGGTAGTAGTCATAAGAAGTTAAAGAGGACGCAGTTAAATTTTTTTTAATAATTAAATCTCGCTTGTTAATTAAAAAGTCTTCTCGCTCAATTTCTTTCTTCAAAGATTTTTGGAAAGGCTGGTCTTTTTTATAAACTAAATATTGGAAGGAAATGATAACCGCCATGGTTAAAAGATAAAACCCTATCCCCCACCACATCAGTTTTGTCTCTCCTTTATCGGCGGCTTCTTTCACCATCAAAAAGGTCATGAGCGTATCGAGGAACATATAATATATTTGGTTAGGAGCAAAAATGGACCAATAAGCAAAAACCCGAGAATTATGGGTCAAAACTGCCAAAGAAGCCTTTCGGTCATGGGTATTTTTTAAAGAAAAAAGTTTGTGGGCTAACCTTTTCTTGGTTGCTACTGCTATTTTATTGGCAAAATAGTAGGAATAGTAGACATGGGCGATAACTATCAAGCAAGCCACTATGATAATCCCAAGCATGACCGCAATAAATTTTCCTTGGTTATTGCCGAAGTTCCAAGCCGGCGGATTTCCTTGGGAATCATTAAACGGTTTGGAAAAAAAGTTAAAATCTCATTTGAGTGAATAATTTATTTTTCCTCCTTGCTTAGAAATTAGTCCATAGAGAATTTTTGAACCATTACTGGTAATCAAAAATGCTCCTAAGCAACTTAAAGTAGTTAAAACGTAAAAAATTAACTGCTCTTTTCAGTATTTTCGGGTAAGGGTAAATCAATTGAGTTTAATATTTTTCTTTTCGGACATATTTTTGGTATTTTGTTGGTTTTCGGACATATTTTTTTGGACTTCTAATTGCTTAAATTAAAAGAGTTCGGTCAAAAATTAAACTAGCATTAATTCACGTTTCTTAATAAGATTTAATTAATCGATTTTTCTTTTTTTTCTAATATTCTTCAAACCACTTTAAATATCTCTTCTTCGCTTTTGTCCGCATCAATAATGTAGATTCGGTCGGGGAATATTCTTTTAAGGTTTAGGTATCTTTCTCTAATTCCTTGGTGGAAACTAGCATCTAAATTATCTCAATTAGTACTTTGGTTTGGTCTTTGTTTTAGCCGCTGACGGGCTTTTTCGACTTCAATATCCAAGACGAAAGTAATATCGGGTAAGGGGGTTTGGATAGTTTTTGCTAATATTTCGGCAATTTTTTCAACTCCTAATTTTCCTTGATAGGCAAACATACTGTCAATGTATCTATCACTGATAACTACCTTTCCTTGTTCTCAGGCGGGTTTAATTACATTATTAAGATGTTCGTTTTGAGCTGCTACATAAAGAAATCAGTAAGTTCAAGTGTTAGTAATAAGAGAAGGTTTATCTTTGTTTATTTGCTTGTCGGTTAGATTATGAACCAAGCGACCTAATTCGGTGCCACGTGGTTCCCGAGTTAATAAGGAATTAGGAATATTTTGGTGTAATTTTTCAGCCAAAGTGGATTTTCCGCAACCATCAATTCCTTCAATGCTGATTAGTTTCATTTTTGAAATGTTGGCTGGTTGATAATTTTTAAACATTTTAATTTTCTTTATTATTCCTCCATAGAATTTCCAATTATGCGATTCAATTTCGTTGAATTCAGAAAGGGAATTTACATCCATGAACTTAATCTCTAATATTTTTTCAATTTCTTTAATTTTTAGTTCATTAGAATACTTATCCGCCTGAAAAAAATGACCTTTTCAATGTTGATTTCCTTTTTCTAAATTAGCATAAAAAACATTTCTCTCGCCAATTTTTTCGCAATTTTCTAGTATTAAATTAGTTTCTTCAAAAACTTCTCTTTTAGCCGCTTCCAAGGGTGTTTCGTCCTCTTCTATTTTTCCACCCGGTAAATTTCAACCTCATTTTTTATCTTTTACCAGCAACATTTCTCCTTTTTCATTTTTGACAATTACCCGAGAAAATTGAGGTAAATCTTTTTTCGGAAACTGAATTTGCTGAATGGTTTGTCAAACTTCGGCGGCGATTTTTTCTTCGCTCTGACTAGCATCAATGATAACAATTCGTTCCGGAAAGTAAGTTTTTAATTTCAAATAATAATTGCGTATTTTTTGGTGAAATTCTAAATCTAATTTATCCCAGTTGGTATATTCTCCGCTTTCCTCTTGCCTTTTTTTTAATCTGGTTTGGGCTTCGCGGGGGTCAATATCGAGAATGAAAGTAATGTCAGGAAGAGGTAAATCGATGGTTTTTTCAGCGAATCCTTGAATAGAATTGATTCCGATATTTCCGGATAATCCTTGGTAAACAAAAGTGCTATCAATATAACGGTCAACAACTATTATTTTATTTTCGAGTAAGTTTGGTTTAATTATTTTTTTTATTAGTTCATCAAAAGCACTAAAAATAAGAAAAATGTAAGTTCAACTGCTCGGTAAATCACTTTTTTTTTCAGCCCGAGTTTCATTTAATAAATTTCATACTTTTTGTCCTAATTCGGTATCCCGTCAATTGTGAGTTATCAGGTCAGAATTAGCCTTGTTTTTTAGGTTATTAATGAGGGTAGTTTTTCCGCTTCCGTCAATTCCTTCAATGGTAATTAGCACCGACATATAATTCTATTTTACATTTTTTTTCTGGGGTGGGTGAGGTCTATTTTTTTTCCAAAAAGAAGGGAACAAAAAAAAAAAAAAAAACAGCAAATTTTAAGCGAAATAAGGGGTAATTTTTATGTTTTTTTTCTCCCCCGATTGTTTTTCCGTATGTGTCAATTTTAATGTAATTCTTTTTCGCTTAAAAGTTATAAAATGTGAAATTTTTAAGTTCTGTTAGTTATTGGCAAAGTAATATTTTTTACTATCTAATGTAAAATAGAGAATATAATAAAATTAATTTCAAAAAACTATCGAAATAACTGAAAAAATATTAGAGCAAGAACATCAGCCCAAACAAACCAAAGAGCAAGGAATTCAAATTTACCTGATTTAACTCAAAAAAAACAAGAATTACAAGAACAAATAAGAAAATTAACTCTTAAAAAATAGATAAGCGAGAAAAATTACAAAATTAATTTTTTTTTCAAATATTATTTAATTCTTTTACTAGTTCTTGGTTTTTTGGTTTGGTAAAATAATTTTTTATTTCCTTGTGGGTTTCCTCTCCTAAAATTACTTTAATTTTTTCTCATTCGTTATTTTCAATTGCGATAAGCAAGGAAGTTAAATTAGGATAAAAAGTGGTTAGTTTTTTGGCTTTGACCGAACTCAACAAAGGGATACCGAGGGCAGTTAATAAATTAGTCAAGGTTTTTTTTTTAGAATTTTCAATGGAGAATAAAATATTATCAACACTCTTTTTTTGAAAACCTTCCAACTTTTCTAATTCCTCCCTTTTTTGAATCAAATAATAAAAATCAGTAGGTTTTTTTAGTAAGTTATTCTCATAAAATTTTTCAATATTTTTTTTGCTAATTCCTTTGATATCCACCCCCGTTTTGGAAGCGAAATGAGCCAGAGAATTAATAATTTTTTGCGAACAATCCTCCTTATCGCATACTTGGTAAATATTAGTTGAGTTTCATTTTAATTCTGTTTGGCAAGAGGGGCAATTTGTCGGAGGAAGCCAACCCTCGCTATTGTATGCTACTTTAATTACTTGTTTTACTTGTGGAATAACATCACCGGCTTTTTTAATTATTATTTTGTCGCCAATATTCAATTTTAAATTACGAATGAATTCATAATTATGGAGAGTTACCTTGCCAATTCTGCTTCCTTGTAAAATTACCGGTTCTATTTGGGCTACATAGGTTATTCTTCCATTTCGACTTACTTCCACCTCAATACCTTTTACCTGGCTGGTGGCCATTCCGGCAGGGAATTTATAGGCCATGGCTCAGCGAGGAAAGCGACTGGTTTGTCCCAATTTTTCATACTGACTATAATCATTGACTTTAACCACAATACCATCACTTTCAAAATCCAATTCTTCTCTCAATTTTGCTTGGTTTTGGATAAATTGTCAAACTGCTTGAATGTTAGAAAATAGTTGGTAATCCGGGCTAACCGCAAAACCTAATTTTTCCAACTGTTTTAGGCAAGTTAGTTGACTGTCTAATTTGTTAGGTGGTAGCAAAGAACTAGTCGGAGGTTTAATTTCATTCATAGTATTCTGGTTAAACAACTGATAGGCAAAAAAATGTAGACTGCGATTTTGAAGCGGAATAAGGGTGCGAAGGCTGCCGGCGGCGGCATTGCGTGGGTTAGCCAATACTTTACTATCACTGTTTTTTAGTTCCTGGTTTAGGCGAAAAAATTCCTCCTTTTTCATATAAACTTCCCCTCGCACTTCACAGTTGGCAATTTCGGTTAAAAAAAGAGGAATATTTTTAATTAATTCTTTGTTAAAAGTAATGTCCTCGCCAATAGTTCCATTGCCCCGGGTGCTGATTTGAGTTAAATGCTGATTTTGATAAATAAGGCTGACCGACAAACCATCAATTTTTCACTCACAAATATACTCTATCTCTCCTTCGGCTTTTAATATCTTTTTGACCCTCTCATCAAAACGAAATAGGTCGGTTTGATTATCAACACTATCCAAACTCAACATTGGAATTTGCCGGATAACTGGGCGAAATTTATTACTGACAGAATAGCCTATTTTTTGGGTAGGGGAATTAGGGAAAATAAAATTATGTTTAACTTCTAGGTCTTTTAACTCTTTTAAATGTTGGTCGTAAAATGAATCTTCAACACTGGGCTGGTTGAGAACATAATATTCTCAATTTCACTTTTCTAAAAGAGCAATAAGTTCTTTCATTCTTTCCTTAAACTTGGTTAATGGCTCGGTTTTACTCATTCAATTCTAAATAATTTTAAAAAACTCGGCAAACATATTAGACTTTATATATTACAATTTTAGATTTTTTTGTGGTAATTACAAATTTCTAACTCTTTTTTTCAGGGTTTTAGATAAAAACTAAACTGTAAAGAATATTGACAAAGTAATAACAACTTAGACACTTCTTAGTAATTAGATAGAAATATTTTAACTAATAATTCAGAACTTTAAACTCAATTATTAGTAAGAATTAGGGAGTCCGCGGTAAACTCCCTTTTTCTTTTTTTTAATTCACTATTTCAAAAAATTAAGTTTTTTTAATTTTTTGTTTGCTTTTTAAGACTATTCCTACTACTAAGCCTAAGACCAAGGCGGCAGTGATGGCTAGTCCTATTCCGACTGCCTTGCTGTCCGAATTAGTGGGGGAGAGTGAACTATTATTTCCTGCTCCCAATATACTATTTAATTCTTGCTGACCTAAACTATTTTTGGAAGTTCTTTGGCAATAATCTTTCACTCTTACTAATTCTGAATTAGTGGCAATTTGCTGGGCAGTTATAACTTGCACTGAATTAGCCTGCGGTTCAGATTGCGAAGGATTAAACTCAATTACCAAATTACCTTCGGAAGTAAATGTAATTTGTTTCACTTCACTTAGATTGATAATTAAAGTTTCGTTAGTTTGATTTTGGAAAGAATCAGTAGGATTTTTCTCGCTATTATTCTTTTTAATTTCAATAGTTTCAACCTTATCCCCTTGGTTTGGTTTGGTTGGATTATCACTTTTGCTAGTGGGAGAATTGTCTTTGGTGTGGTTCACCTCCTTTGTTCCTTTTTGCAAACTGTCTCCAAACTCTTTTGTTTCAAATTGCTTTTGGTTTTGGCAAAACTCGCATACATCTCCTTCATCACTTCCCAATGCTACACTGCATTTCTTTCCATTAGACCTTATTTTACCTCCTTTACATGGTTTAGAATGGGGCAAGCACAAATCCATACATTCGTAATAAGGCTTTTGAGAGCAACCAGCAATTCGACATTTTCTTATATGATGTTCTGGGAAGAGTATAGGACCTCATCCGCTATGCCATGATGGTTTTATACCATTCTTCCATTTCTCGCTAATTTTCTCGTCACAACCTAAGCACGAAAATAAACGGTCATCGGCCTTGCAATAGTCATAATCTCCACCGGCAGAAAGGATTCCTCCCTCTCAATGTCCTAATTCATCCTTAGAGTTAATTCGTTTATGACAATATTGGCAGTCAACATTATACTCAGAGGCTAGACAATCGAAACAAAGACTTTTCCCATTTTTGTTGAAAATACGACGTTGTTTTTCAGCTTCATTTGAAGAATAGTCTCCGAAAAATTGATCGCGGACTATATTGCATTTACTACATTTTTTAATACTATTATTTGACATATCTTTTAAATTTTTTTTACTTTTTAATATTTTGCCAATTTTTTTTAAAACAGTTGGCTTTCGGTTTACCAATTGCTTTTTTTTGGTATTCTAATTAGTGGCAATTGGCAAGAAATCCGAAGGATTACCGTGATTTTAATAAAATCTTTGGTAAATCCAATTAGAATATTTTTTTTCTCTTTTTTTCTGGGAGAAAAATTGTTGAGGAACATTCACTCAACAAAAAAAAAAAAAAAAACAGTCATTTTTTACTTTCTTTCTACCGCGAACAAAAGAAAGTAGGCAAATAAGAACCCACTATTTCAACTTTTTACTATTTTCTTTTTCATCATTATTATTTTATAATCATTTTATTTTGGAGTTGGGGGGTTGTTTTTCTGGTATGCTTTTTATTTTGCTTCTTTTTTCCTCTAAAATTTCCCTTTCTCCTCGTTATTAAAATAAGTTTTTTCGTGTAGATTACGAAAAAAATGCTGCCAATTTCAGTAATGATATATCGCTAAAAGTCTACATTCTTTCCGGGGCTTCTATTCCTAGGAGTTTAAGTCCTAGTTGTAGAATTATTTGGATATTTGCCACTAAAAATAACTTTTGAGAAGTTAATTCTCGGTTTTGTTGCTCCAAAATGACCTGGTTTTGATAATAGATTTGTCAGGCTTGGGCTAATTCATATAAATAATGGATTAAATGGTGAGGTTTGTTTTCCTCAACAATATTTTCTAAAACAAAAGGAAACCGCACTAATAATTTAAATATTTTTCTTTCGTTTTCTTGTTTTAATAAGTCAATTTGAGAACTAATTTCAGCGATGCCTCAGGCTTGGGCTTTTTGAAATATCTGATGGCAGCGAGCATGAGCATACTGAATATAATAAAGTCGGGTTTTTTCTTTGTTTTCTTTCAACAATTCTACATTTAGGGAAATAGGTTGGTTAGGGTCTTTTTCTAAAAGAAAAAAAATCAATTGGTCTTTATCCATGTATTCAAGTGCTTCCGTTAGTTCGATAGTATTTCCCGCCCGTTTGGAAAATCTTTTGGTCTGGTTATCCCGAGTAAGTAAACTAACCATTTGAATTAAAGTTATCTGTAAAACTTTTGGTTTATATCCAAGTAAAGCACAAGCACTTTTCAGCCGAGCAACGAAACCGTGGTGGTCGGCTCCTCAAATATTAATTAGTTTGTCGCTCCTTTTTAATTTGTCTAAATGATAAAGAATGTCGGAAAAGAAGTAAGTATAATCGCCGTCTTGTTTGATAATTACTCGGTCTTTGTCGTCTCCTCCTTGAATGCTACGAAAAAATACGGCTCCTTCATGGGAATAAATTAAATCTTTTTTTTTTAATTCGGTCAATAGTTCCAAATGTTTATTTTTTTGGTATAAACTGGTTTCTGAAAATCAAAGGTCAAATTTTATTCCGCATTCGGCTAAATCTTGCCGAATTTTAGTTAAAATTAATTCCAAAATTTCCTTTTTTCAAACTGCTAAATCCTCTTGGTTTAATTCTTTGTTGATATATTTATTTCCCCACTTTTCGAGCAATTTCCGAGCAATTTCTTGACTCGATTTTCCAGCATATGCTATTTCGGCTGGATTTGGTTGACTAATGCCTTGGAATTGGTGATAAAAATGATAAACTGAATTAATTAAAGAAATAATTTGTCCTCCTCGGTCATTAATGTAATATTCTCGAATTATTTGATAACCTAAAAACTGATAAACATTAGCCAAAGCATTCCCCACAAAAGCATGGCGAAAGTGAGCCAAATGTAAGTAGCCGGTAGGGTTAGTAGAAACATATTCAATATTTATGCGAATATCTTTTTGCTTCTTGCGGAGGTTTTGTCCCTTTTTTTCAAATGTTTCCCTAAAAAAATGTTGGTAATAATCAAGCGGGAGATGAAAATTAATATAACCTTGTTGGGTGATATCCCATTCTAAACCAGGTAAAGCAGTTATTTTTACTATTTCCTGGGCTGTTTGGTAAGGATTCTGCCTAGTTTGGTGGGAAATTGGTAGAGCCAAGGTTAAGGCGAAGTCTGCCGAGATATTTGGCGGCAGTTCCCATTGTAAAAAGGAATTCCTTCATTTGATATTGTGCTGGTTAGCGATTTTTTTTCAATTTGATAACAAATTATCAAAATTTAATATTTCTCCCATGCTATAAAGATTTTTATATTTTTTTGACTTTAATTTATTAAATAATAATTTTGGTTTTTTATCTCTTTAATTTCCTCTATTTTAGGAATATTTTCCTTTGGTAAATATATTTTTTTTTGGCATAGATTTATATTTTTTTAATTTATTTTGTGTAATTTTATTGTTTTAAACTTTCCTAATCTCTAAATCTCCATTATCCTCCTTAAAAAACAGAGCCTTATCTGTTTTTCAGTTTTCCATTAAATAATGAATAATGAACTTTTTATCTTTTTTTAACTTTCCTTCATTTAATAACTCTTTAATTTTAGGATGTTTTTCATAAATATGAACTCATTTTTCTTTTCCTTCTGATGAATAACTAAAAACAAAATTATCACCTCCAAAATGAATTGGACTTTTCTCCTTTTCACCGATATATGAAATCTCTAATTCCGCTTTTTCTTTTAAATCGGGTCAATTACCAAGAGGTTTTAGTTCAAAATTGCTATTATCCTTTTCAAAATAGAAATCTTTTTCGCTTTCTTGCCTTGAAATGTCTTTTTTCTTAAACTTGATATCAAAAAGAGGAGTATTAACCATTTCTTTACCTTTTACAAAAGGATGGTCTTTGTCAACTCAAACTCTAAATCCTTCTCCTTCATTGCTTTTGAGTAAGTGATAACCACTTTTATTTGAATTACCTAATTTAAAAGTGCCAGATATCGGTTCGTTTTTATCCTTTAACTTCTTTTCAACCTTTTTAATAAAGTTCTCTAACTCTCTAATAAATTCTTCTTGTTTTTGACTGTTGAGTTGGGAAATTTTACCTAAAATTTCTTCTAAACCAATTAAATTAGTAAAAAAATCATTTTTTTCGAATAAATTCTCAGGCTTATTTAACTCTTCTTTAATATGATTTAATTGCTGTTGGAGTTGTTGAACTTTTTTTTCCGTAGTTTGTCCCTTGGTTTCATTAATAATTTTAGAATTATTACTTTTAGTAGTAAAATAATAAATTGCTATTCCTATTACTACTGCGATTAATGTTCCAGTGATTATTAAGTGTAAATACTGTTTTTTTTTTTTTTTTTTGCATAGACCACAATAATAAGATAATTTTATAAACCTAAAATATTTTTTCTTGATTTTCTATAATTACATCTTCTACCAACTGCGGATACTTGCTAATATAAGTGAATTTTTGGGGCGGATGTATTCCGTATTTTGTTTTCAGTTCTTTCATACCAATTGGTTCGTTCAATTTATATAAATGTTTAATTCGATAAGCAAACTTTCATTTAGGGTTTCTGCCTTGGTTAAATGTCTCGTTATAAACATTATCGTTAGGAATTTGGTTAGGATATTCCACTGGTAGGTCAAGTTCAAAAATATACATTAACTTTTGGATTGGTCTATTGACGTAAATTCACATTCTTTTTACTTCGGGGTCGGCTCGTCAACTCCGAAATTCATAGGGTTTTTTTTGACTTATAACTGGGGTTAGATACTCCTCATCAAAACTAATTATTATGTCGGATTTACTTGTAATCGCTTGGGAAATCCTTTCTTTTTTTGACACTTTCATTACTTTTTTTCTGCTTGGTTAGTTTCCGTTCTTGGTAAAGGCGTTTTTTTCGGAGGACTCGCTTTTTCGCGGAGCTATTTCAGAAACTTCGGATTTTTTTACTTTCTTAACTTTTTTGTAGGTTTGGTTTATTTAAAATTATTACAGCACTAATAATTATTATAGTTTAATTTTTGCTCCAAACTCCCCAAAATAAGGAATTAGGACTTTTAATTACTATAAAAAAACTCTAACTTTGTAATAATATTTTTGAGAACTCGGTATGGAAAAAAATTATGGAGATTCAAAATAGAAGTTTAGTGGGAAAAATTTTGCTATAATTTTTCTTCTTTTAATATTTTTTGTCAGGCACTATCAGAAACTTTCTGATAAGTAGAGAGTTGCATTGAATATTCTCCTCTTCCTCCGGTTAACTGGCGGAGAATTGTCGAATAATTAAGCATTTCTTTTAAAGGGATTTTGCCCTGAATATAACTATTTCCTTCTGTTGCTTCTTTTTCTTCAATGATAGCACGGCGGGAGTTAAGGTCGCCGGTAACAGTTCCGGTGTAATCTACCGGTACTACTACTTCAAATTGCATAATCGGTTCTAGTAAAATTACTCCTAAATCTTGAATTCTTTTTTCCCTTTCTTCTACGCCATCACCTCGTAAGGCAATAATGGCCGCTTGTTTGAAATCACCCGGCTTAGTATCGACGGCATGCCTTTCTCCTTTGGTTAAGGTTGCTTTTAAATCCACCACCGGATAATTCAAGAGCAAACCGGAGGATGCCGCTTCCTCTATTCCTTGCCTCACTTCCTCAGCATCTCCGCTGGACATATCTTGCCCTTTTTTAGCATCCACAAATTTGAAACCTTTTCCTTTCTCATTTGGTTCAAAAGTAATCCAAACTCTCGCATCATGTCCGCTCCCACCAGTTTTCTTTTTATATCAAACTTCCACACTCATTTTTTTAGTAATAGCTTCGCGATAGGATACTTTTCGTTGTTTCCTTTCGATATCAACTTTATATTCTTGTCTCAATCTTTCCATTAAAACCTCTAAATGTAATTCTCCCATTCCCTCAATTACCATTTGTCCGGTTTCTCGGTCTTGTTTGGTTCTAAAACTCGGATCTTGAATTTTGAGTTTATTTAAGCAATCGGCTAATTTATTTCCATCTTTGTTGGTTTTAGGTTCAATGGCTTGGGAAATTACCGGTTCTGCAAAGTCAATATTTTCGAGGAGTAAGGGATTTTTTTTTTCACTAAATGTGTCGCCGGTAATGGTATATTTTAAGCCAATTACGGCAGCGATATCTCCGGCTCTTACCTCCTCGATTTTTTTTTTGTTGTCGGCATGAATGCGAACCAAACTATTTACTCTTTCTTCTTCTTTTCGGTTAACATTATAAATAAGGGTTCCGGCGGAAATTTTTCCAGCATAAACTCGGATAAAGGTTATTCTCTGATTATGTTCATCAAACACAATTTTAAAGGCTAGGGCTAAATAAGGTAAAGGACTATTACAATTAACCAAAGTTTCTTTGTTTTCATCCCGCTGAGAAAAAGCCGATACTTTGGCAATATCCAAAGGAGAAGGTAAATAATCAACCACCCCATCTAAAATTAATTTCACCCCTACTTGCTTATAAGCGGAACCACAAAAAACTGGGAAATACTCGCCGGTTAAAGTTGCCTTTCGGAGCAGTTTTTTTATTTCTTCCGCTTGGAATGCTTGACCCTCCAAATATTTGAGGGCTAATTCTTTGTCTTCTTCAATTATTTTTCCTAGATTTTCCAGTAGTTCCTTTTGATATTTCTTTGCTTTTGCTAATAAATTAGCGGGAATTTCTTTTACTTGATAATTTTCTTTTTTGTCGCCCAGTTGAAAATAATAGGCTTTTTGTTCTACTACGTCAACTAATCCTTCTAATTCTTTGCCGGCTCCAATCGGAAACTGTACTACCGAAGGAACTACTTGTAATTTTTCCTGAATGCTTTTTAAATTCTCGCTAAATCTTTCCTCGTTATCCACTCCATCCATTTTATTAATAAAAATTAACCGCGGGACTTTATATTTTTTGGCTTGGCGTCAAACTTTTTCGGTTTGGGATTCGACCCCTTTTTTGCCATCCAAAACTACTATTCCGCCGTCCAAAACTCGCAAAGAACGCTCAACTTCGGCAGTAAAATCAACGTGTCCAGGAGTATCGATAATATTTATTTGGTAGCCTTTTCAATAAACAGTGGTAGCGGCGGATTGGATAGTAATTCCTCTATCTTTTTCTTGTTGCATATAATCCATAGTGGCTCCCTTACCTTCTCTATCGTGAACTTCCCCCATTTCGCGAATTACGTTGGTATGATAAAGAATTCGTTCGGTAGTGGTAGTTTTTCCAGCGTCAATGTGGGCGATGATACCGATATTACGGATATTAGACAGTTTTTTTTCGACTTCGGACATATTTATATTTTTAGTGCTAATGGAGAGAGAAGTGAAGTGGTAAAAGAAAAAACGCTAAAATTTTCAAGAAATTAAAAAATATTTTTCGTTCCCTATTTTTAGTTATGAAAAACTCTTTGTTTAATTCTTTTCTGACCGATACAAACATGTTTAAAAAAAGCAAGATAACCAAATACATTTACAAAAAAAGAAGTAGCGATTAGGCTAAATTACTTGCTAATAAAGGTTCTAAATTAGGCAACTTAATACGAATTAGGTCAAGACTTAATAAAATTATGTTAAGGGCAAATGCAGAATTAGAGTGCTAAAATACTTAAATAACTTATGAGCGGCAAAATAATAACTAAAATCAAGAAATACAAAAGGGAGGAAAATAGTTTTTATCACGACGACGAAATATATATTTCCGGTAATATCGAAGGTCTTATTAAAATGGAAGTATTAGAATTTAATTATTTAGGGGCGAATATATCAAGTTTGGGGTTAACTAATTACTCTGAAAGTGCTAAAAATATTCTGAAAGAAAATATAACTAATCCCTCTTGAATTCAAATTAATTTTGATAGACAGCCCAATTACGAAAATGGAGTATTAAAAATATTTGAACCGATAATAAGTAAGTTTACTGATAATCATGAGGTTTCATTCGCAGTTAAAAAAAGAAAAAAAATGATACTTGTCGAAACGATTTCTTCATTCGGAACTACTTCTGAAACATTTGAAAAAAGAATAGAAATCGAACCACTTGATAATTTACTTGCCGGAATAGAAGATAAGGTTATTCCTTGTTTTTCGCCTTCGATCAAGGTTATTGCTTTTCGTTTCAACCGACCAACTGAGATATATGGCTCGGGACCTAGTGCCCATGAAACCAATCGAGAGATTAAACAATTTGAAAATAAATTGAGAGTTGAGAAAGGCGGAATAATAAGTTTTAAATTAGATTTGATTGAATTCGGTTCCACTTCGGGTGAAATTGTTGTCACTCTTAATACCTTAAATGATTTAACTGTGACTTCGGTTGACAAAAAGGCCATTACCGAAATCCAAAATGCTCTGAACCAAAATCCACCAATAACTAATGCTGAATTAGAAACCGCTAACCAAGACTGGCAAAATGAAATCCAAAATGCTTCTGAGCCGAATTTAATTAATAATATTAAAAATCGTGTTTTATCAGATATCACCGCCAAACGAAATGCTAAAAATAGTGGTGGAGGTGGTGATGTTATTGAGGCTTATCGAAATTTAGCTATCGGTGCCATTAATACTGAATTACAAAAAGACCCAGTAGTCAAAACCACCGAATTAGAAACTGGTAATCAAAATTGAGAAAACGAAATTAAAAATGCCACTATCCAAGACCAAATTAAAACTATTCGAGACCGAGTATTAGACGATATAAAGAACAAACGAGGCCACAAAAGCGAAGAAAAAAAGGTTTTAGAACTTCTTTCCCAAGCCAAAACTCAAAATATTTACTCTGAATTAGCCCAAACCATTAAGGAGTTAAAAAAATATTTTTCTACTAAAACTTATCAAGAAAATCAAACTGAAATAGAACAACAAGAAGCGAAATTAAGCCGACTGGACCCAGACAAATACAAAAGGGAGATTGAAAACGATTTGAACGAGCAAATAAGAAATAATGGTTTGGAAAGCCAAGAAATAGAAGCAGAAACCACAAAAGCCATTCAAGAGGCAATCCAAGACCCTACTCCTAGTAAAAAGAAAGTTGCTGAAAAAACCATTGCCCAAAATGGGGCTAATGTAGAGTTAAAAAAACTACTTTCAAGTGCCAAGACAGCAAAAACCGAGTCAGAGAAAAAAGTAATGATAAGCAAGATTTTAAATTATCCTAGCAAAAATTCTTATTGTGAAGAGAGTTATCGGAAATTGAAAGCGGAAGTAGATAAAGTTTTGGCTCAACTTCAAGGTAAAAATCTTGAAGGCGGAAATTCGCAAAATTCTTCTCTCTTTCTCAAAGTAGTTTTGCCGTTAGTTTTAGTTGGTTTCGGAGCCGTGATAATTGGTGTTATATTGTGAAAAAAAAAAAAAAAAAACCACTGGTAAAAATTAGAAATGAAAAGAATTGTTTATTTATCAATTCTCCCACTCTTTTCACAAAAAAGCGTCATCTCTTTCGCTAGATAATTCTATTAGGATTTAGTCTTTGCCCTAGAAAATTTATGACAAATCACAAAAGCAATTAAAGAAACTACAATTATTCCTCCCACTAACAAAAATCCTCAATTTTCGCTAATTAGTTTACTAAAAGAAGAACTATTATCTAAATTTCTTTGAGGATTATTTGGGTTATTGTTTTGTGGTATTCTTGGCGGTCCTCTTCTATCCGGTTCATCTCTATCATTATTATTTCCATTGCCATTTTTCTTAATTCTTGCTTCTTCAATCGCATCAAGCATTTGGTTTTTAAAGTTTTCTAGTTCACTTTCAGAGTTTAAACTAACTAACTTTTCGGCTCATAAATTATGGGGAGACCAAAGAGAGGAGCCTAGGTCTGAACTTAATAATTTTGAGGATTTTAGTTTGGCAAGGATCTCGTTGCCAATTACGATTCTAAGTTCAACAATAGCATTTTTATCGTTATAATTTTTTCTTATTTTCTTACCAAACCTTTCTACTGCCTTTCATAATTTATCCATAAAATCTTCTAGTTCTTCATCACCACACTTTCTCATTTTTTCCATCCAAGTAGAATAAGGAGCCCATAAATTAGGGTCTAAGGGTGGATTTTCAAATTGGTATCCTGCATCAGGATTTATCCCATTATAGGCAAATTTTGCCCTCGTGAGTTTTATTCTTTCTTCTCTTTCCTTTTTTTCTTCTTCCTCAAAATACTCTCTTTGGGCTTCATACCTAGTCTTTCATCTTTCATACCAGTCATTAAAATCAAAATCAGAGTCATCTCCACTATTATCATAATTTTCCCTTGTTTTTTCATCGGATAAAACAGCATAGGCTTTTCCTATTTCTTTAAATTTTTCTTCTCCATTTGGATTTTTATCAGGATGGTACTTTAAACTTAATTTCCGATAAGCCTTTTTTATTTGCTCTTGGGTTGCATTTTTGTCTATTTCTAGTATTTTGTAATAATTTTTTGTCATGATTATATTACTAGAAAGAGAGAGAGAGAGCAAAAATGCCCTCACTGTTCTCCCCTTGAGTTTTTTAGTTATTTGATGGCTGAATTTGAAGAGCTTGGTATTGCTCTTGTTGGATTTGGTTCAATTCTAACTTTAACTTAGCCAACTTTTCGCATTTACTACAAATCTTTTGGGTATTATCTACACTGATTCCTCGATAAATAATTCCATTGGTTAAAAGCCCTTGTTTGATATTATTAATGCCGTTTTCGGCTTCATCAATATTGTTTTGGTTAAAATTCTTTTCTGCTCTTAGCAATTGTTTATAAGCATTAAGGAGGTTATCCATAATTTTTCCTCGATTAACTCCTAATTGTTGGATAAAGGTTTCTAATTTCCCTACCTTTAAACTTATTTTTTGTTTTAAAAAGTCTTTTCGAGATTGCCCTAATTCACCTTTTAGTTCTTTGATTTTTTCTTTACTTCTATTGTTTTCAAGTTGTAAAGCATTAAACAAACCAGTTATTCTTCTAACTTCATTTTCACTTAGAACTCATTTATTTTGGTAATCATCCCGTTCGATTTTAAGTTGTCCTATTTCTGTTTTTTTTCTACCTAATTCTTCTTCACCTCATTTTATTACTCGATTTTGGGTTGTTAATTGTTCTTTTAAACCATCTCTTTCTTGTCTTTTCAGAACTAATTGATTGCTACTGCTTGATTCCAAACTACTTATTTTACTTTCTAATTCGTTAATCCTGCTTTCCAATTTTGCTATTACTAACAAAGAAGAGGCTTTTTTTGTTACATTATTGCTTCATAAAGTCTGGTTAGAGGCTTGGGTGCGTGTATAATCCAAATCAATTTCTATATAATCCCCTACTTTAAAATCATTACAAGGATAACTATTAACAAATAATATTCTATCGTTTCGTCTTTCACATCTGCCAAACTCTACATTGGCATCTAGTTTAAATTCAACGCCTCCTGGATTGGAACCTCATTTTTCTCTGTCCTTAATTTTGTATATTTTTCAATTTGTCATATTTTTTTATATTATATTTATTAATTTCTTTTTTTTACAATCACTAAAAAACAAATAAGTTATTTACAAATAAGTAGTAGTGATTGATTTTAGGTTATTCCACTTATTTGTTTTTTCTCTTTTTGACCATAGGCAATTATATTATAATTTATTTTTTTACATAGGATTTACTTTTCATGCCAAACCTTTCCTAATTAAAAAGATTTAGAATTTGAGATTGCTATCAAAAATTTTTGCTGGTATTTGAGAGAATTTCAGTAGCGAGAATAGTTTATTTTATTTCAAAAAAAACCTATTTAAGCGGTTCGTATAAGTGTTTTTCCAGTAATTTCACTTTAATTTCACCTCCAAAATCAAAATCTAAACAGTTTTCTCAGTCTATTTTTTGCTGGTTAATATTAAAAATTTCAAAAATTTTTTGACTGGTTTCGGGAGCGATAGAGTTAAGCAAAAAAGCGGTAATTTTTATTCCGTTCGATAAATAATTTAGAGTATGGTTCAAAAGGGGAATATCGCCTTTTTTGGCTAACTCTCAGGGGGCTAAATCAGAAATTAATTTATTACTTTCATTAACCAGTTGTTCGATTTGGGAAAAGGCGCCACTTAATTCATATTTATCCATTTTTGCTTGAAAATTTTCTACTACCGAATTACATTTAAGGTAATAAACCGCTAATTTTTCGTTTTTTGCCGTTTTTTCTAACTTCGGAATAATTCCTTGACAGTATAAATGAAGCATTTTATTAACCCGAGAAACTAAATTACTTAAATTATTAACCAAAAAATCGTGATAAAAACCTCTTAACAATTGCTCCGAACAAACTCCGTCTTGTAAAAAGTTAATTTTAGCAATAAAGTAAATCCTTAATAAGTCAGTGGGATATTTCTTTAATAATTCGGAAGGTTCGGTAGTATTACCTATACTTTTGCTCTCTTTTCTTCCTTTGGAATCAACTAACCAGCCATGAGCCAAAATCCGGTCTGGTAAACGTTTTTTCAAACAAAAAAGGATAATCGGTCAGTAAATAGCATGAAAGCGAGTTATTTCTTTCCCAATTAAGTGAATTATTTCACTAGCATTTAATTTTTCTAGTAAATATTCGGTTACTTTATCGTTAAATTGTAGATTAATTTTTTCTATTTCACTCATGCTGAAAAATTTGGCCTCTCGAATAGTTTCTGGTTCTTTAACCGCTAATTCTCCGGAATAATTGCCGGTTCGGTAAAAATGAATTTTTCACCAAATATCATTAACATAAAAATTTTTTTCGCCAATTTTTTCTAAATCTTTAACTACTAAATTAGTTTCTTCAAAAACTTCTCTTTTGGCCGCTTCTAAGGGCGTTTCGTTCGATTCTATTTTGCCGCCCGGTATCTGCCATTTAGCATACTTTTTATTATAAACTAAAAGATAATCGTTATTTTTGTTTTGGATAGCCACACAAGAGACTTGGGAGGGGCTATTATTTTTATTTTCTGCCGAAAAATTAGCCAAAAAAAATTTTTCTCCCGCTTCTGAATTAAGATAATTAAGCAGAGCCTCAAACCAAACATAAATAACCATTTTGGGGTTATTGGGAACTGGAATGCCTCATTTAATGTCGCTTCTGGTAATACACAAATCCGGAATAATTTCCTTCAAAAAATTACTAAAAAGTTCTTTTTTGGCATTGGCAGGCAAAAGAAAATGGGGATTTTTTTGATAATGCTCTACTAATTGAGAATAATACTGGCTAACTTTCAAAAAATAAGCCGGTTCATTAATTTTTCGTAGTTCGGCATGGCAGTTAGGAGCCGGGCAAAAGTCATTATCAACTGCTTTACTATCGCTCACATAATCCTCACAACTAACGCAGTATTTTCCTTGATATTCACCCACATAAATATCGCCTTTGTCTAATAATTCGGTAAATATTTTTTGAACTTTTTCTTTGTGCGGAGAGGAAGAAGTGCGGTAAAAAATGTGTTCGGAAATGTTTAATTCTTTTCAGAGTTGCCGAAAAAGTAAGACATTTTTGTCGACTAATTGTTGAGGAGTTAAGTTGAGCGAAATAGCCTTTTTTTCAATTTTTTCTCCGTGGTCGTCGCTCCCAGTTTGAAAATAGACTTCATAACCGCGACTTTTTTTGTAGCGAACAATAATATCAGCCATAACCATGGCATAGGCATGTCCTAAGTGTAAACGGGCATTTGGATAAAAAATAGGGGTGGTAAGATAGAAAGTTTTCGGCATGTAATATAGTTATCTAAATTTTAGCCAAAAAAAGTTAGTTTAGGTTTTTTAATGTTTCTTTTTTTTCTTAATAATGAACCCAATAATTACGGCAATTATTACTACTCCGCCTATTCCAAAGCCTATTCATAAATTATTATTTTTCTCTGGGGATTTTGTGGGGGGAGAAGTATCGGAAGGTTTACTTAATTCTTGAAGACTAATTTTTTTACTATTTTTGTTTTGTAAAAATTTTTCTATCCCTTTTAGTTCGGGAGAAATGGCGAGGGATTTAATAAAAATTGAATTATCATTACACTCAACTATTAAGTTTTCACCTTCTTTTTCAATGGATTTGATATTGTTTTCTTGGAAATATTGAAGTAAATTTTTATCATTTAGTTCTTTCGGCAGGGAGTTAAAAGGATTATCATTTGGGTTATTTTCAACCGGTTTATTTTTTTCGGGTTTGCCTTGGCTATCCGCCGGAATAATGGTGATTTTATGATTTAAACCGACCACTTTGGCAAAACTATCTGGCACGTTGAATTGAGAACTATTAGAACTAGTGGCTTCCAAAGGTAAATTATCAACTCCTTCAATTAAATAAAATTGTTGCTTTAAATTATAGCGGATACATTCGCTTTCGGTTCCGTTTTTTTCCTTAACCTTTTCCTTATACTTAAAACTGGCTAAATCGGGGTGGGTATCGGGAACTAATAAATTAAAATTGCGACCATTTTCCTGGCCTCAAAAGTAAATACAACCATATTCAACCCCTTCTATTTTTTTCCACTCAATTATATGAACCGAAGTATCCTGACAATAAAATAATCCCTTTTGAGAGTTTAATTTTTCCTCTCTTTCCAACTTTTCTTGTTCCTTTTTCTTTTTCAATTGTTTTCGGTCTGCCTCAGTTCATTTGTTGGGACTTTTTTCTCCTTCTGATTTGTGTTCGTCGCAATAATAGACAAACAAATCTCCCTCTGGATGGTTCTCATCTTTTTCGGATTGCCTAAACATATCTCGATAGGCTTTTACCATTACTTTGTTTCCACCACAATCATAGTCTTCCACTCAACTAAAATTTTCTTCTTTTTTTCATTTTTTACCGCATACGAAACAAATATTCCCTCCACACCCATAACATAATTCAGTATTGTTAGGACCTTTGATAGGAATGAAGTTTCATTTTTGTCTACATTTGCTATAATTACTACATTTAATTATTTTGTCTGCCATGGTTATTTAATTTATTTACTATTACAAAAGCATTTTAAACACTCTCTAAATCTATTTTACAAAAAAAAAAAAAAAAACAGTGGGGGGTTTTTGCCAAAAAAAACGGTTCTATTTTCAAAGGCAAAAAAACCAAATTTCATTACCCACCAAAGGTGTTAATTTTTTCCAGTCCGAGGATAAAAATGGAGTTCGATTGATAAAAAAGTAAATTATTCTATTTTCTAAGCATGGTGGTTAGGATATCATTTCGCATCTATTCAACCAAATAAAAAGTTAATTCAGCAAAGATTAATTATCGACCACACCCAAAAGTAAATGATTTTTTCACAACTTTTAGAAAAAACACTTCCGGTTTAGCAGAATATTTAACTAACCGACAAATTAAAAATTTAAAAGATTATTGTTTGGGATTAGAAGTCGGTTTAGGAACTCACGGCAAGAAAAATAGCAGTGGGAAAGCCATGGAAAAAGCAGTAGAAAATTTACTAATTAAGCACGGAATTGCTTACCAAAAGCAAGTGTCGGTTAATTTTCCGGTAAATGGCAAAAAATTATTTGATTTTCAAATTAAATTAGGAAATAAGGAATATTATTTGGAAACCAGTTTTTTTAATGTGGCGGGTAGTAAAGTCCAAGAGGTAATTCGCTCTTATGGTGGGATATTAACCAAGGCTCAAAAAAACGAAATTAATTTTTTGTGGATTTTGGATGGCAAAGGATTGAAAAGTTGTAAGGAATTATTGAAAAATACTTACTTGGAAAATAAAGATTTTATGTTTAGTTTGGTTAGTTTTGAAAAATGACTAAACAGAATAAAATAATTGTTAGGTGAGACTTATCAATGTATAAAATAAACTTAATAAATATTTGCTAACCATAAACTAGGTGATATTTATAAAAAATAAATTAAAAATATAATAAAATACTATGAAAAAATATTTGCTCCACTGAGAAGGAAAAACGGAAAATTCCGGTTTACCTTGTGAAAAATTTACCTTAATTAAGAGTGCGGGAGAAATTGAATCAAACTTAATATTCTATTCCACTTTTTTTATTGATAATCAAGAATTCTCAAAAGGAGTGGTTTACCAATTTACTACTCCCGGTAATTTTGTCCGAGATAATAATCACCATTGCAGAATTATCCAAGGGATTGATAGTGGGGGATATGAATTCGGAACTTTTTCTGAGACAATCGAGGGTGAAATATGGGAATTAAAAAATAATGTTCCATCTACTACTTTGAAAAGAAAGATTTATGAATTTATACAAAGTTTCTTGGTCCGAAGAAGAGATTCAACCCAAGCCCAAAAATTTGCTGCTTTTGCTGACTTAATGGATGAATTAAATAAAGAAATTAGTGAAGAAAAAAAAAAAGAAAATGATTCTACATTAGAGAAAATTTTAACTGATTTTACCGAAATTAAAGAGTTTTGGAAATCTGTTTTTACCGAGAAAAAAGTTAATAATGACTCCCGTCCCCTTATAAGAAAAAGAACTCTCTCAGACCGAATTGAAAATTTTCGAGAATGAATTAAATGGCAACAAGGATTTAATCTTGGAATACTAAATGATGAGGAAATAAAAGGCCGATTAGTCAACCTATCTAATCCTCTGTTTCACGATCATAGCAAAAGAAAAGGTTTTGAGATAGTTAGTTATTGAATTTCTAGACCTAATTTTCACGAAATTGAATTTAATGATGGGAACGATATAGATAATGCCAGTATAGATATAACCTATGTTTTGCTTAATATTTTAAAAAGGTATTGAGATAAAGATAGTTCCTCCGCCAAATTAGCCGAAGTTAAATATTGTAGTGATGGTGGAGTCGGACACGCTGAATGGTTAAAAGTTTTAAAAAGTAAAATTAGTGAACTAATCGCTACCGAAATCGCTCTCCGACCGGACAATAGCGGTAATGAGATTGATGAATGAAAAAGATTATGGCTCCTAGATTTAACCGAGAAAGAATATACTGACCGCCAAAAAAAATATCAAGCGAAAGTAGATTCGATTAAGGAGGTTATCGCCCAATTTGAAATCACTATGGGCGAAATTATTTCCAACAAAGAATTCAAAAAGGAGTTTGAAGAATTGACTCAAAAACAACTTAATTTATTAGAAAGAGGTGCAACGACCAAACAGGTGATAATTTATAATCGTTTAAAAGATTTAAAACTTTATCTAAGCGGAGATGAAAGTTGTAGAATTCATAATGAAAATAGACTCCAAGAATGATTTAGCAAGCACAATTCCAAATTTCTCTTCTCAAATGCCACTCGTTTAGAAACCCTTGAAAAATTTCAAACTAACGAGATGAATTGGAGTTCTGAAAAAATTAGTAATCTTTATTTAATTTGGGCTAGACAGTGGATTTTTAAAAATGATGTTTCCTGGGTTCAAGGTAAAATTTCCGGAGAAGTAAGGGTGCCAAGAATTGATAATACTGACCCTTATACTAATGCTGTTTTTAAAGAAAAAGTTAAGGATTTATTGGATTCAAGTTTTGCTAAAAAGAACCTACAAGACCTAAAAGATTCAAATCTCCCCCCCAAATATTTACGTTGATTAATTGATGAAAGTAAATCTAGAAGAGGATACAGAGACCTCTTAAACCGCGAAATAATTGAAGAAATTGTCTTGAATTTTATCCCCCAACTAGACAGTTGAGAAGAAAAGTTGATTAGAACCAACCAGCAATTTACCTCTCGAATTATCCAACGCCAAAAAAAGCATGAGTTAACCACTCTGGCGGAGGAAGTAGATGCTGATTTTCTGCCATGAATGACTTTTTTCATGAATTATAATGTTTCGACTATATTAAATAAGCATGGTTATGATGTAGAAAGTTCATTTATTAAGCAACAAGTTAAGTGAATAAAGGAAAAATACCCTTCCGACCTAGTAGAACTTGACCCCTCAAACGATTATTTAAAATTACGCCGCTATTTAAGTGAGGTTTATAAAAATATTTACACTACTTTAAATTGTCAGTCCATTTTTTCTCAGCAGAGATATATGGTGTTCGAATTAGAAAGGATAGAAGACAAAAATAGGGATATTAAAGAAAAGGACAGTGAGGAAAGTTATTTCGAGGAAGGATTATATGAAAATGAGCAAGTTTTTATTTCTAAACCAGCCTGCTTGGTAATTGGCGGAGAGAGAGGGGTTTTGCCTCGCCAACTTTTTCCGGCTTGAGGTTCCTCTAAATTTGCCACGGCGCCATTGGAAAGTCTATTTCTTAACTTAACCTCCGACGAAATTAAAAAGGAGTTGCTTTACCCCGATTTTTCTGAGGTAGATGAAACAGATGAAGAAGCATTAGTTAAATTTCACGCTGATAAAAAAAAAGTAACTGATAAATTAAAAAAATTTAAAGCCGAAAAAGGACAAAAAAATTTAAGTCTTGAATTAGAACGCTTAACGGACAATTATCTAACTAGTTTTCCGAATCAAATTTCGGAAGAACAAAAGCAGGAATTAAAAAAAATCAATGCTAATTCGGACTGACTAATTTTTAATGCTAGTTCTCTTTCTGCTCCAATTAGCACTATGTCCGCCATTGATGAAAACAGCCAATTTAGCGGAGAAATTTGGGTCGACTCCCAAGGTTATTTAGTGGCTAAAAAAAGAGGGGCGAAGTTAGCTGAAACTGCGGCAGAGACCGAGCGGGAAATTCTGGGTTTAGACCGCCATGTGCCGAATTGAATTGACCATCCCGGAGTTTTGAATGAATTATATCAAAGAGGAATTATTGAAAATATTGAGGGAGTTCATTGCATTAATATTAATAAGGAGGGAAAAAAAGAGGAAACTTTCTGAGGTTGATATGCGGAACAAAAGAAATCCACCATTGAGGGTGCAAAAGAATTAAAATTAGAAATAAAATTATCTGAACCGATAGAATTAGATTTAGTTTTACAGGAAGGAATTCACCGAGACCTAACCGAAGAAAAAGCAAGCGGGGAAACCGTAGTGGTCAAAACCGCTAACCCAGCGGCCAAAAAACGCTATGAGGAAATTAAAAAGGATAAAAATACCATTCTGACTTATCGCCGCTTAATTAATGTAGAGAAAGAGGAGAAAAGGCTAGAAAATTCGGTTTCTCGGGTAGTATTAAAAAAGCCGGGGGAAGAACCCCAATTTTTAGTGCTGGTTCGAAATAGCAAATCCGACCCGCTAAACGAAGAAAAAATAAAAAATGATTTAGTAGCAGAAAGAAAAGTTTCTGCGGCCGATAGAAACTACCTAGAATTAGAAGAATTAGGAAAAAACGAAGAAAAAAACGGTCAAATTTACCATACTTACCCCGACATACAACAAATCAGATATGAGGCGGAAACTTACCAAGTTCGCACCCAAGCGGCTAAAAATTTAGGTGATTATATACAAGTTTAAACTAAAATACTCATATAACCTTTTTTATGTTAAAATTTAAAAGTATATCCGAA